AAACCAAAGCAGCCGCAGGCTTTCAGGGCGGATGAAAGGGAACCAACAGTCTCCACCTCGAGGTCGTCTTTGACGTGGCAGTCCCACCAAAGAATCAGCCACCTGCTGAAAGGCAATGCTTGATCCTTACCTTGGGTTGAAGGGGGTCACCTTTTTTGTGAACAAATCCATAAGGATTGTGAAACATCGGATTGCCACTCCATTTTGAACAGCCCAGAATAGCACAAAATAGGTATGGCTTTCTTTAGGGGACTGCCCAAATGCTGGGTTTTCCTTTGGCGCTCCGCGATCTGACCGCTTCTGCTTAGGTTCTACGAAGAGCTGCGCACGCGGGAGCAGCTGGGCTACGTGGTGTCCTGCCGCGCCGACCGGAACGAGGGCGTCTTTGGCACGGACACCTAGACATGGCCACAGCTGGTGTACTGGCAAGGGGTGTTCTCGTTGCCCAAGCAAAATCATCAAATGGCTGTGGCTCAAAAACATGTCCAAAATAGCACCTAGGTAAGTGCCACCAAAGACTAAACCCGCGTAACCCTAGCTCCTTAAACTTGGGCCACACCCAAATGGGCTTGAGGGATGCTAACGAAAACCATTTCAACAAATCAAGCTACAGTGTGTCAATCCCAAAGAGATGAAGCTAATTTTCATATCTGGGGGTTGCAGAAAGATGTGTTTGAAGGTGAACAAGATATATAACTCTGAACCATATGGACCCTGGAACTCCCGGCAAAATTATCCGGACATCGTCCCATAAATTTGTGGCAACCTCCCATTTTCATCCCGGTGATTTGTTCGGTGTACCAAAGATGAAAGGGTAGTTTCCCCGTTCTTTCCAGGCATCCTTCTTTCTAGAGAACCACTCAAAACCCTGGAAAACAGCTGGTTTTTGAAAAGAACGATGGTTGAAAAGAATGGGGAATCAACCCCTGGAAAAGAGGCCCTTCTGCAGTTCCATCGAGGCTTGCTCTTCCAGGTGCAGGGTGCCGCGAAGAGCGCGCTCGAGGCGGCCGAGGGCTTCGTATGGACGATCTCGCTTGCGACGGTGGATGGTGCATACTGGTGCTCAGTAGGGAATGACCGTTCCGGTTGGGAATCAACTGGAGGGGATTTTCCCTAGAAAACCACACGAGTTCCCCTACTTACTTGGGACCATTTGTGTGGAAAGAAGCAAGTTCAGGCTGTGTTTGGAGAGCGTTTAACCTTTTTCCCTTTAGTCCATACAGCAGGTTCCAAAAGGTCTACCTTGTTTTCCAGGTGCCCTGGGCAAGGGGGGTCCCCAAAACAAAACACGCTCTATTTCCGTTCCATGTTGACTATGTCAGGCCCGCCCCGTTAGCGCGTCTTGGTCTGGAGCACTGTAGATCAATAATGAGGAAAATTTGGAAAATGCTCGTAGACGCGCAGACATATCAGGGCCCCGCTTTTGAACCAAGATGGGTGCAGCTTTTTTGATGGAACTTACTCCAAAATGAGTGGTTTCTGTTTGGTTCCGAAAAAGAGACCCCCAGAATGCGGGATCATACATTGGCAGGGCCTGAAGCGATAGCCGAGCTGACAAGCCAATGTGGCCAAGCGATAGACGATTGTTTGCCACGCCGAATCCAGCCGGATGTTTTGAACCCCACCAACCCGGCAGACCCCACCCAGAGGACTCCCGGATAGATCATTACAACAAGTTTTGTTTGTTTTTTTCTCACACGGCCCATTCCATTTGCTTGTTTGTTTTATGCTCCCTGCTTGGGTTTCAAAGTCACTACTGAAAATAGTTCTATGTTTTCCAGGAGGCTGAAGCAAATGGAAGGCCCAGGTTGGTCCGAAGTTGACAACGCCGAACAGTGTACTGCGACTTTCAAGCGTCGGGCGCAATCCGATGAGGACAAGCAAAACCAAGCATCAGGGTAGAAGGATACCTGGAAATGAGATGTAGCCCCAATATAATGGGGTGATGTCCCTTTTCATGGGTAGTTGGACCACCGCCCACAGCCGCCCGTGGGACGAACTCCATTTTTTGGTGTTTTTTTTTGTGTTTGAACTCAATTTTCCCCGTTTTTTTTGGTGTGGTTGAGGGTGGGGGGTGGGGGTGGGGGGATGATTACGTCACTTCTTTGAGTTTGCTTGACAAGAACTTCTTTATTTCCTGTTTCTGTGGGGTGTGTGGCGTTCTTTGTTAGTGTGCTGAGCTGTCTTGTTTTGCTTTAGCATCTTGTGCCCAAGCCATGGTGTCAGAAGACGTTCGTCTAGCGTCTTTGCCTTCATCGTCTTGCTGCGTTTGGCTGGCGTCTCGCAGTGCTTCTCCACACACTCGGCGCTGGGTCCTTTCTTCACTGTTTGGCTGCCTCACTTGGACTCTCTTCTGGACGTCGCATGCCAACCAGCGGACCCCATCTCGTCCTTTGTGTCTGCTGTCACGGTATGCCCACAGAGGTTTCCGCTTGACTTTTCGGCTTTAGGCGCCTACGTTCCTTTCTTGTTGTGGTCCACCTGGTGTGCATCCTGGAGTCGTCATCTGCTGCGCCCTTGCTCTGCTTCCATCGGCGTGGCTTCTGCTTGTTGGATCTTGTCTCGTCGCTTGTCTGGCCTACGTCTCGTCGCTTCGGGTGAAGAACAGACTAAGGACCCCTTCCCCCCGTCCGTTTTTGAAAAGAGAGTTGAACATGCCAGTGTGTTGCCTGCAACCGAAAAACCGACAAAGATGTTTTGGGGTAATAACCTTTGGGTGAAGAACAGACTAAGGACCCCTCGCCCCCGTCGGTTTTTGAAAAGAGAGTTTATCATGCGGTTCCCAGGCAACATGCGGTCTTGAACATGCCAAAATCCTTGAAAACGATAGTTGGGGGCTGGAAAAGAAAAGCGCTTTCTGAAAGCATGCGTGCCTGTGGGATTGTGGGAACGCAAGAAATTCCCCACTGTCTCGTCGCATTTTACATGAGGGACAAAATCCTTGAAAACGTGTTGGGGGCTGGAAAAATGAGCTTCTGAAAGCAGGTCGCCAGTGGGATTCGGGAACGCAAGAAATTCCCCACTGTCTCGGCGCATTTTACATGAAGGAAAGACGGGGCTTTCCCTTTCCCCCCTGTTAATCGCAGCTTCGACAAGGTGCTCCGAAGCCAAAAAACGCACTATATTACGCGGGTTACGATATGGGCGGTGTACCTGGGTAGTTTGAGGTACAAGGACGGTCCACCGGTTTTTCAACCCAATTGGGTCTTACGCCACGTGTCTTACCAAGGGAGTTACCCTTGAAAAGTAATGAAGTAGTCATGGGAGAGATCAACAGTTTGGCATATGTTTTCACACCCTTGGCTTGAGACCAGGCTTCCACAGTGTTTTGAAAGAACCATACCTTGTCAAGCGTAGCAAGCCATCTAACTAACATGAACATGATCTGTATTTTTCAAATGTACAAACATGCATCATGCCTTACGGAATTGACTGAACTGCTGAAACAAATCGAGCTGTGCATGCCTTGGCCAGCATCACCAGCCAACTAACGACTCGGAATACGCAGTGTCATAATTGCCGAGTGATTTCTCTAAAGGGCCCCCCCTCCATTGAAACTCATACAGCTTTATTCGAAAGCTGTTTGGTTGCCCCCTTGACTTGCACGCAACAAGACCACCTTAGGTAAACGGGTTGTTGTTGCCCCGAACCGAGCTCTAAAGTGTCATCCTCAATTTTGCCCTCGATTCTTTGTTTCTTCGTTTGTTTCTTTGTTTGTTTGTTTGTTTGTTTGTTTTTTTGTTCGTTCGTTCGTTCGTTCGTTCGTTCGTTTGTTTGTATGAATGTGTTGTTTTGTTCGTCTTGTTTTGTCTGATTGCCGGTTTGTTTGTTTGTTTGTTTGTTTGCTTGCTTTTTTTGCATAGCTTGTTAGCTTGTTAGCTTGTTAGCTTGTTAGCTTGTTAGCTTGTTAGCTTGTTAGCTTGTGTGAGTTTGACAGTTTGTACATGCAGCACCACGCTGACACAGGTACGCTCGAGCCGCTCGGGCATTCGATGGGTTAAGCGAAAAGCAGTGTGCGCTCCTTGGTCAGTTCGACATTGGTAGCGGAGCTTCGGCTCACGGTTTTCCAGCCCTTTGGGGGACTGATGGCACAGCGCGTGCAATGGCGTCTGCACTGGAGATGCTGAAGTTCACCAACTTCACGCAGGTCAATGAGGAGGCTGGATCAACGGAGCAGAAGGGAGTCGCTTCGCGAGTGATCCAAACCACTTGGGTGAGTACATCTTCAGGCCCGCATGACCAAGGAGGAGAGAAAGAAACATGGACCACTGGGTCTCCGCCTGGTGGAAGGCATGAGCGGCATCGTCTTGAAGATCGCAAAGAGGATGGGCCCCGCAGATTTGTTCAAGCCCACGGGAGCACACCTGAAGATGCTGGAGGCAGAGCTCAAGCCGAAGCGGGTGCAAGAGGTGAGAGAGCTCTATCATGCTGGGTCCCAGACACACAGCATCATGGCCCGACAGATGAAGGAGTCGATGGCGAACTACATTCTCAAGAGACGGGCGTGGTATCGGAGTCTGACTCCGTCTCTCTGTGTCTCTGTCTCTCTGTCTGTCCGTCTGTCTGCCTGCCTGTCCGTCCGTCTGTCAATCTGTCTGTCTGTCGGTCGGTCGGTCGGTCGGTGGGTCGGTCGGCCTGTCTATGTCTGTCTGTCTGTATGTCTGCCTGTCTGTCTGTTTGTCTGTCTGTCTGTCTGTCTGTCTGCTTGTCGTGTTTTTGTTGTTTGTTTTGTTTTGTTTTGTTGTTTGTTTGTTTTTTTTTGGGGGGGGGCATTCTTTTTTTGTTCTGTTTGGTTGCTGTTTGTGCGCCAGTTGGGGAAGCGATGAGGCACAGCCCCTTGCGCAGCAATGCTAAGGTGCTTTTGGGCCGGGGCTTTGAGCCCGACTGGCCTGAGATCGTCCGGGACCTGAGGCTCACTTTGAGAACCGAAGGGGCTATCGGCTAGGGGCTTGGATGGCCAGTCTCTCCTTGCGCGAATGCTCATCTGGCGCCACCTCAAGGTTGGCACATCCCATGCAGCACTTGCCCTAGCAAGCGGCCGCGCATGAGGCAGCGGCCGCAGTAGGCATTACAAGTCAGTCGCCTTCGGGATCTATTGCACGCCGGGCGCCATGGCTCGTCTTCTGCTCTTCCTGCTGGCCTGTGCCGGCGCTGACATGTTGCCAGACTTTCACTTTCGTGGCGGCAATGAGGTCAGGCTGTTGGGGGAAGGTATCTTCACCTAAAGCGCCTCAATTTCCCGTGAGCTTGCATCGGCTTGTATCAGCTTCTGTCAAATGCAGGAGAAGTGTTGCACTTGTTGGAACGAGTTGAAGGCAGCAATCATTTCCTGGCAACCTGCAGCCAAAGGCACGTGAAGCTTTCGACTGACCAAATGTTTAGGCATATTGCTTTGGAGCTTGTATTGATGTCTTACGGCCTCTGCGTAAATTTGTCAACTTGAAGAAGGCTACGCGTGAAGCTTGCAAAGCTGCCAGGACCACTACAAGCTTGGCTTCGAAATAGGCCGCAGGTACGAGGCAGCTATCAAAGCCAGAGTGGCAGCGCATGCCGCTTGGCGGCAGGAAGCAATGAGCAGAATAGTCCTGAATAGGATGTCCGTGTGACTTGGCGCAGGAGACGTCGCTGAAGCTGATCTTCAGCCATGATGGCTGCCAGCAGCATTTCAAGGACCTGCTTGCTACGCACCAACGGTTGCGCTCTTGAAATAGCGGTTCGCCGCGGGTTCCAGGTCAGCCTTTTGGAAGCTGTTTACCTGATTAACGGCTAGTGACTTGTCTTGATGATGAAATGTGCTCTACTCAAGTGAGACTTGCACACTGCAGATGGCATTCCCACATACCGCCACCCAAGTTCTCACACCATGAATCACCCAACACCGTCTGACATGTCTTGCATCCTCGAACTTTTGCGCAATAGTGTTGCAATAGGTTTTGCTGGACACCATCAACAGCTACATCAGATGCAACAGCCGCAAAATCAAGAGCGACATCAACAACTGTTGCATCAATGGTGGCAGAGGCAGCAGGAACCGCGCTTCCCAGGAGGGGTGGCCGACGAAGACAGGCATCAGCAAAGGAACAAACATAACATGCATGGTTCTGAAGCTGCTTGCAAAGAAGACCACGGGTATGCTCTCATGCTTTCCTCCTTTGTAACTACCTTTTTCCAAGGTTCAGATTGTTGCATCAAGGGAAGCAACATCTCGTCATTTTCCAAGGGCATTTTTGTTGCAGCTGTGTTTCGAGGGCTGTGGGGGACTCGATTCCACGTGTGTCGGGAGAGCCTGTTCTTGGCGCAGATATTGAGAACCTTCCAGTCTTACAATGATTCAATGGCCCTTTTTTCTATTTACAAGGTAAGCCATTCCAACCAGCATTTGGGGCAGCCCGAGGTTGGTGCCCCAGCTACTTTTGGAGCTGCAGGGCATCGCGGAGGGCAGCAAAGTGGCCTTTGAAACGCTCTGCGCCATTAGCTTGCAGGAGGGTGCTTTGGGATGTGTTGGGCAGGGCGTTGGTAGCAAGACGGGCCTCACGTGTCAGTGGAAATGTCGCACTGGGTAAAAAGTTAGCTTGCCTTCCTGATTTAGGTTGGCTTACAAGCCAGCCCTCCCATTGAGTGACCGACTACAGCTAGCAGGGGATGCCATTCAAATGGAAGCTAATGATGCCAACCTCATATTCATAAAAGGGGTCCCCTATGTTTGTTTTGTTAGGGGCCAGGGGCGGGGAGGGGGGGGGGTGTAATAAACGGCTCCAGGTCCAACTTGTACTAGTAGTTCGTTGCAGTTGTTCTAGAGCTGCTTGTAGTCCTTGTAGTGCTGCTTGTAGTGCTCCGTAGTACTTGCAGTCTTTGCAGTGCTGCTCAACTTATTTGTAGTCGTACAAGAATGGCCTTGGGAAAATTGTTCAGTGCGTTTCTTTTTTCTTGGGACGTGGAGCTTTTGGAGACGCCTGTGTCGTACAGTCAGTTAACTTTAGTATTGGCCCTTGCCTATTTTAGTACTGGAGAGAATAAATGGGGCTTGCCTGGAACCGATTGTATTATTCGGCCCCCCGAAATGATTCATATTCCTACTAGGCTGACATAAACGGGTTCCAGCTTGCACCAAAGCACAATCATGTGCGTAGCATCCCAAAACCGATTTGTCAGAACTTAGAACTGATTTAGGGTCACCCAAAGCTGCATTGCATGCCTTCACCGTTGCTGGCAAACTAACCACGGGACCTTGCCTGCAGAATTGCAGAACCCACATGCACTGCGGCTAACTTAGCGTAGGCCCACTCAAAACAAAACACAACTGCAACAACAGACACACCCCCACACACCACCCCACAACCCCCGCACACCCACAAAACCACACCGCACCCAAGCGTGCGTCAACAGAATTTCGGCATGCTGTGCAGGGGGTTGTATCACATTCTGAATTTGCATAAATCGAGAATCCTCCTCGCAGCCTATTTCATGTTCCTTCCCGACTTCACAATTGATGGACGGTTCCGAGGTAGGTCCGGAACTCGGTGCGCATAAACGCACAACCACACACACACACACATGCGCAACCGCGTAGGAGGCACTCTGAGCGGCCGACCAACAATGAACAGGGTCACACCGCCACTATAGGCGCGGAGTAGTTAACAAAAGAGGCAAATGCCCAATCAGGATTTCTGGGCGTGAAACAATTGCGGCATCGCCTGCCACAAGCAATCGTGAGTGTTGTGCCATCATTGACAAGTTTTTCAAGTGCTGGGGATTCAACACGCCTTTCTTAGCATGACACAAGGTGGCTCACTTCTTGCCAGCCTTTCGAAGATCCCGAGGCAAACTGCAGCGAACTATGGCTCGCAGAAATGAAGTGTTCGTAGTCTTGGAGCGGCCAGTCGTAGATGACACACGCATGAAATAAGTCCATTCTGCGTGATACGGGAAGGTTTGTCGGGCACTGTCACTAAACCAAGCAACTGCAGGCATCCGAGTAACTTGTGCACCGTACGTTGTCACCCCACCCCAACCCCCAAAGTCATTGAGGTGTTGCGTGCAAAATGCTCCGCGCAGTTAGTTTATGCATGAGCATAGGCAACTCCCCTGTGCAAGAACGACCTGCAGACAACAGCCCAAACATTTGACTTAAGCCACTGTGAGGAATTATAGCCACTCCTGCCATTATGTACTACATTTAGGTCATGTTTCCTGCCCATGGCATTGCCAACAAGTTGGACCGGAGATCCTGTGGTTCGGACAAATAGTTCACTTTTGACCAGGTACCGAATGTCAAGGTGTGCGATTCTGTATTTGAATAGGCCCTTCGCCCTCTGCCCATTGCTAAGTTTAACACCTGGCACATGGTTTGTGCTGGCCACAAGAGCTGAGCAAGTTGGTTTGCCGAAATCCGACGCTTTGGATTAGGAGGAATTGGGCTACTGCAAGCCAGATTTGAGACGAAGTGCAGACCACTGCTCTGATTATATGCTTTGCGGCTGGGCTGGAATCTGGCTCGATGAAGGTGTGAATTGGCACTTTATGTTTGGCTGTTTGGGAAATGGCAGCAGCCTGCAAGAGCTCAGCAGGGAGCTGGCAGAGGGTCAGACGATTGACCGAGGCAACGCAGAGCATTGCCTGGATGCCCACAATGAAGATGGCGACCTTGCAGACGCCTGGGCAAAATTTGAAAGGGGGCAACTCGCTTGATGCTTTCCGCTCGTGGGCATGGATACTGCCAAGGACAAGCAACTTTTTGCGGCCTTTGTGCAACTGGGAGCCAGCAACTTCACTGTGCTGAACTACGCCGGTGACCTGCTGGGCGGCATGCGCCGAAGCAGAAGCATAAGGTTTGGGCATAGGGCCTCAATAGGCCCCAAATCCTCATATGCCACGTGCAAGGATACAGAGGCACTGCTACCGCGCCGGACTGAGGCTTGCAGGAGTCTTTAGGCCGTGCTGCTGGATGGTGCCAGGCAGTTTGTGTGGGGACTGTTGGCCACCTTTTTTTCAGCTGGCCGTACATCGGCTTTTTTGTGCTGTGGATAGTGGCAAGTGTTGATTTCACCCCTGCTGGCTGAAGTAGGCAGCATGCCCAGCTGCATAAGCCTCATATGACTCATATTGCATCCTCCTTGCCTCCAAATCAACGGCGGCTCTAAGTCGGAGCTTCCGCTTTCGTTGAATTCGCCAAGGTCGGCGCTGGCCTTCAACGCCCACGGCCTCGCCTTCTCGCTGAATTGGCTGGGTCCGGCCAGCTGCGATGCTCAGCGCGAGGGCGGCTGGGGGGAGAGGGCGGCGGAACGAATGAGCGGATTTCTCGGGGCATGTTTTGTAGGCAACAGAGCTGTGCCATCCAGCTTTTTCTTCAGGACACTAGCGGCCTGGGCCGGAACTTTGTCAGCAGGATGCTTCTTGATGCACAAGGCGAGAATTGGCTCCATTGGGCTGAAGCTTTCTTGTGCACTTGGGCTGTTTGGAATATTTGCATAGGCGTCATTGCACCTTGTCGTCCTGACAGCTCCGCTCTCAGACCGCCGCTAGGCTGGGACGAGGCGAAGGCCATCATATCCCAGAAGCATGCTATAGGCGCGGGCAGATTTCTGACTGCCGCGAGCAAGCCGGTTTTGGCCAGCTGGCCCCTTTGCATCCTGCGCTGGTTCCACAAGCTAGCAGGCCACAACTACCAGCTCATGGACTTCCGGCACCGCCGCATTGCCAACTTCGAGGTAGCACAGGACCAGGCCAGGCAAATTCCTGGAATTCCCTGTCAGATGTGAAGTGAAAGTCTTCATCAGAGGTCTAACATGCCTGGGTCAGATGAGAGTTCACCTTTGAAGGATCGCACGTTGAATTCGTGCAAGTATTGCACATCCAAGTGAAAGTCTACATGTTTTTGGCCTCCGGTGGTCTTTCTGGTGTATTTGGTGTGGGGCCGGTCGGCTGCGCAGGTCTCAGAGAGGCCGATCCGGGAGGCTTTCTTCCATGCCAACCAGTACCAGACGCTAGACGCGCCCGGACAGCCAGGAGCTCAACTGAAGGAACTGCGTCTTCATGAAGCTCAGCCTTTGCCACGTAAGGCTTGACCCTTGATTTGCTTTTGCCTGCCTGCAGGGCTGCGTAGTATGATCAAATCGAGAAACTGACATGGTGAAACGTTTCAACCTCATTCACACAGGTTTGCGCATTGCTTCCATTGCTGAAGGGATGCACCTGACAGTGAAGCCAGGAGGCAGCAATGACTGCACGGGCACCGGGCATGAAACCTTTCGAATAGTCGGAGCGGTGTGACTCTCTTCTGGGTCAGCAGCAAGCCACAGGACAGAGACTCCTCGTCGTTTCCCCCGCAAACTCACTGCGGCTTTTGTGAATGAGTAGGACCTTTTGAAACCCAGCTACAACCTTCTTGGCTATGGGCACTAGCCCTGCCCCTGGGAACAAGACTCAGGTACCGGCGAGTGGGCGCAATACAGTAAAGCAGCGCATTGGCGCTTATTGTAGCGTCACTGGAAATATTCTTCCTGGCATATCCCCGTTTTGAAGGAAGCAATGCAGCAATTGCACTGCCTCAATTCTAGCTTTGCCAATTCAGTCGCTTGCAGGCTGTACTTTGACTAGGGCGAATTAATCATCAAACCAGGCAGCGCAGCGAAGCCTTACAGTAGTTGTCCTGCTACCTGCCTAGACTGCAGACGGGTAACTTGAAGGACGTTGTTGAGTTGCTGCCAGGCCTATTCTCGCAAAGCCTGTTTTCTCAAAAGAGTCAATGAAAGGTAGTAGACGGACATCGCCCCTTATTTGATTCAATGGTTGTGGTTGTGGTCTCCGATAGGGCCCGCCTTGCATGTCGCGCATGCAATGCTGTCGTGCCTTTCGGCCAGCCGCGGGCAATATGACAACCTCCTAGAAACCTGCGCTCAGGATTCTTGGCAACAGCTCCCTGCACCGCCTGGCGCGGGTGAAGCAGTTGCCTGCGCCCCGCTCCGCAACAGAGGCCCTTTGTATCTTGGGTGACCAGGAGGACATTTCGTGCCCCTTGCGCGTGGCGCACATATATGCAAGTATGCGCATGATTTGGGGCGGCGGAAGAGGCTGCTGGCGATAGCAACATATCACGAGGTGTTAGCCAAACAGCAGAGAGTAGATTCATCTTCTTGAGAAACGGAGGGATAAACGTCTGCAGTCGATATGTTATGGATGTTGGTGGCAGGGTGTTGCCCGCAATTCAAGCACAACATATCATAGCCGTTAAAGTCAGAGGCTCGAGCAGTGATGGCCTTTGTTTTGAGACAAGGTTTTTGCTCATCAAAGGTTCAGCGTTTGTGAAATGGGCCTGTGTTCCTTTCTTGCACTTCGCAGTGATTGGCATTGGATTGAAGCCGCTGGGCTTGAACAAGGCGAGTGGTTCAGCATGCTCACTCTTGCGAGCATGGGTGCGTGGACAGGTACCCCATCTTCCACGATGAGCGTTCTCATCGCTTGGGGGACCTTTCGGATTGGACATTGGCCACAGCACTCTTCAACCTGGACCAGGCAATGAGTACCCACCAAAGCCAACAAAAAGTATCCCAAGGCATTCAATGTGTCGCTTGTTTCATTCATGAGTGGACCCTTGGGCAGGGCTCAATTTTGGCTGTTCCATGCGCATCCCAATTGAGCATGTGCAGAGTTGTTTGGCCTTGGCTATGCAGGGCACAGTGGACGTGATGGCTGGGAATCCCAAGGCCAGGTGGAAGACACTGGCACCACACGGCTGCACAGACGTTGAGGCATTAATCTCGAGTTTTGAGGTTTAAGTGTTGAATCGTGGGCAAAAAACGAATTGTATGCGCCTGCGGGTGGCCCCTTGCTTGAGCAAATGCAAGACGTCCTGCTTGACACGTTGCCTAGGACGGCAAAGTTTCCTAGACAAGCGGTACACGCCGCCCTGAAATTAGGACGGTGCTGTCCAACGGCAATTCCGCGTACTTCCCAGTGCTCCATTCAGCGTGGCCGGTTCCCTGGAGGGAAGAATTCGGAGGAATCTGGAATGGCTTGCGTTCGCCCGAGTTTTTTCGTCTCTCAATGCCAATCTGAGCCCAGGTCCTCTAGGCAGCGGCTTGCATCGCTGACTGCAGGGGGAAAAGGCTGCCGAGCTAGGTGAGTTTGTTGCGCGCGATCTGGGTGTGCTGTCAACTCTTGGGGCGCACATGGTGCACGCATGACACTGCTTACAACTGCCATCCAGCATGTGCCTGGCACGTGGCAACGGCTCGCGACAAGGTCAAGGCTGTTTGCGCCCAGCGCTTCAGCACGGACCTGCACCTTGGGGCAGGACTGGGCTCCCATGTGTCAAAGTGGGGCCTGGGGTATGGGCTTTGGGTTCGACCAACTTGCCTGGAACCCAACTTTGCTGCGGTTTGCGATAGGCGGTGGCTTCTGGCCGACGCCTTGGGAGGATTTTTTAGCTGATGCCACGCCTGGCGTCCAATGCTGAGGTGGCTGGTCGAACCCCCGGAAGACGAGTGAGGTGTCGCAGATGCCTGGCGGTCTCCAGGAAAAGCATCTGAATCCGGACCACGGGGCATGCTCACATATTCCCGATTGCTTTACTAATGATGGTGGCAAAATGTTGGGGTGCTACATGTTGATGATTCAGACTCAACTCAGGCTCCATAGGGCATGCCAGTCCCTTTGCCACGTGCTGCATCATCTTGCAACGACTTCGTGCTGGCTGCTGGAGATGTTGCGGGAGAGTGCCACACAGCTCACCCATGTACCGGCACATGTGCGTGTGGCTCAAGCACAACCCTTTAAGCCAATAAGCAGGCAGCCCTTCTCGCACGCCGCAGCCTTTGATTCTTGGCGGTTTGGGCAGTGCAACCCGATAGCCCAGCATGTTTGCTTGCATTGATTCAGAGCTTGGTAGCCCTCGGTCCAGATTCAGATTGGTCCCGGGTCAAGGGCTGACCTGGCTGACCAAGGCAGCGACGGCCGGCCTTTGACCTTACTCCAGGTGACGGGTACGGAGAGTGGCTCTCGTTGCCGCCGAGCTGCCTTCACTACTGACATTGATGTTTGCCTGTATGTCACAATGGAACTTGAAGGTACGGCTTTCAGCACAGGCCTTTTGTCTTGTTTTTTGTTTCTTCTTTTTTTTTTTTCTCGGGTCAGTTGGCGAGCACCACTGCGCGATCGGCGCAGCTTCCTTTGGCTTTGGCGGCCTCTCCGGGGAGCGCTGACACCATGGAGGCCGGGGCAATGCGCATGCGCGGCAAACGGAATTGGTCACAAGGCCCGTGAGCCAAGGTTCTGGTGACGGATGCCTTTGGCCTTCCTGATGACTGCCTAGTCTCCATTCGCTATGGCACCACCAGGCCGCGGCACTGTGGCGCTGTCCCAGCCCTTGGTCAATTCAACACATTCCATTGTGCGTGCGTTGAAAAGCGCTTCTCTCATCAGGGTAAGGGCACCATCGCATGCGGTTTTGCGGGCCGGTCAGGGGGGTGGTTCGAGGCGCCAAGCTCCTCTGGAGTCCGTCCGGTCCCAGCCTTTCAAGTTCCCCACGCAGTTGGACGAGCTGAGCCGCTCGAAGTTACCCCAGGGTTGGCCAACTGCAACCTTGGCCTGATGTTGCCATGATGCCATTTGCAACTTCAACTCAAACAATATAACTCAGTGACATTTCTTCGGGCTAGCCGAAAGCCGCAAAACGTTGGATACATTTTGTCTCCGCTGGCTCTGTGTGTGGCAAGCCAAGGTGAGCCATTGAAGATCGATGTGCTGAAGCCGTTGGTGTCAACTCGTTTGGTGCTTCACCCTCACGAGGCCAAGCTCTGAAACACTGAGAAGGGTTGGGAATTGCACACTTCTCTGATACTGGAAGGCCTTCCGGCTGACACTTTGTGTTTGTTTGCAAGCCAAGCCAGCCAGCCACCCAGCAAGTCAGGCCAGGCAAGCCCTTGTCAGGAGCAGTACGGCATAGGCTTCGACCACGAAGAGGAGATTGCCATGGGGCTGCACGTCAGGGCCACAACAGGGGCAGAGCCAGGACCCGGGGACGGTGCTTGCTCGGTGCCTTTGTGCACGCTCTGGGAGCTCTGGGAGCCATTAGTGTAGGGCAAAAGCCGAAGCAGCCAGGAGCTAAGGAGTCCAACGGCAAGGACTCGGCATCCTCCGCCAAGGACTACCTGGAGCAGCGCCTCGGCTGCAGCCTGGAGTAAATGAAACCCGGAGCGCTCCTGCAACTCCCAGCCGTGGAGGGGCAAACTGAAGTCAGTATCCGTTGTGCCTCAGGAATGGCTTGCTGAAGTACGTGCAGTCCCTCCTCCATGCAGTCATCCAGGACCTTGAAATGCGTTGTGGGATTTGGGCATGCAGACGTGCGATGTGAGGAAATCAAGCTAGCAGCAAATCACACCCGAGGTAGCACAAGCAGTCCCCTTGGCGAACGGAAATGCACGTCCTGGGAGCGAACCTGCGTCACAGTAAAATCATGTGCCGCTCATGCTTCCAGGACAAGCCTCAGGATCCGCGGCTTGGCGAGCAGGGTGCTGAAGGATGAATTGTTTTCCTAAGAGGGCGCCTACCTTTTCTCGTCTTTTCTTGACGGGGTGGGGTAAGGTGGGGTTTGTTTTTTGGTTCTGATGTTAAGGGTGCCGAGGAAATGCAACAAGCCATTGCATCAGACATGTGAGCAAGATGACGCCCGGGTGAGGTGCGATTTAGCTTCTTGGGTTCTCCAACCCAAGGGGCTCAAACAATCCATGAGTACAGCCAATGCAATCTACACGCAATTTGCGGCAAAGCAGAATGGAAAGGCTGCCCAAACTGTTGCGAAAACAGGCCATGTAACACGCTCGGTCAATCAGACTCACCCCGCTTGTGCATTTGTCATACATAACTGTTACAACTGTCTATCTGCAGCATGCACCTGCAGCTATACCGTTACCGACAGTGAGGCATTTGATAGCTTGAGGAAGCCATACTTGTTGGTGCAGCTTGTGAATGCCAGTTTGTGGGACAGGGGCTCAAGACGCTTGCATTTGCCAGGTTCGCCTACATGATTGAGCAGCTGACAGCTGCCAAGAGCACAGTGCTTAGATTCGACAGGTTCCGTATCCTGCAATGGGCACGGTTTTCGCTTCAACAAGAAGATGATTTGGTTGTGACTTCACGTGGGCGCAGTGGTGCGAACTTTATGGAGCAATTGATGATTTCTTTTTGCTGACGTTAAGTGCAATCAAATCGGCCGCGTTCTGACTGCAACGAAATGTGACCATATTCTACTGCAATCAAATTTGACCATATTCCAGTTGCAGACCAGGGCTTTGGCCCCAATTGAACTGGTCGGGCCACGCACGGGCTTAGCCGTTGGCATTTCTCAACCTACCTTGGCCATATGGCATTAAAACCCCAAGGCAAATCCTCAGCCTGCGAGCGCGTGCTGTCCCGGCCCACCAGCGCTGTGCACCGGCCTTCTGGTGCACGGCCCGCGAGCGCCAGGCAGGCTCGCAGTCAGCCCACGGCTTCACCCCAGACGTCCTTCCGGTTGAACTTGGACTTTCACTGCCCGGAAGAGGTTGCATCTAACATGCCGAGTGCCCCTCTTGCCGTGCCCCATGCCAATTTCGATTGAGATGCCTCGGGCTCCTTGCTTTTGCCTCTCGGCCAGCTATGCACCCATTACTTCAGGGTGGGTATGGAAACGTGGTTTGCCTCTTCAAATGAGGGACCTAGACTTGAAGAGGCTGGACTACAGCCAGGCCAAAGCCATACCAGCCCCCTAACCTCACATAAGACATGGACCCCATGCCAACGCATGCACCACACCCCCGATTCGCGCATCGCCAGCCCACAGGCCTACCCCTCCAAGGGCCAAGCCAGTGCCTGAAGGACCTCCTGCAGAAGAGCCGCCAATTTTTCCGCACCTCGACGAGGTGATGCTTTTGGGCCTTTCAACGAAATATACCTTGAGTCCTTACAAGGAGCATTTGTTCTCACGAGTGGCTTCTGTGGTACTCGGATCAGGCATCAGCCCGGCATGATGCAAACACGTTTCCAGAAGCCATGATAGTTCAGGATTCCTGAAGGAGACCTTATGCATGTTGCCATGTCTTTTGCCATCTCCTGCCGGGCTCATTCGTTGGCCAGGGAGGTTAGACCAGCTAAGGACCGTCGACCAGGTTCCTGAGGTTGCACAGCAAGTTCCTGCCCAGATCTTGATGCAGTTGACGTGCCGAGTTGCAGCAAATTTCAGACTGACACTCAGGCTCAGGCTGAGGTGGAAGCGGAGGACAAGGAGCTGGTTTCTAAAGAATTGTATTGCATTTGTTGGTGTGACCTTAATTCAGGCCCAGTGGCAGGCACATAGCACATGGGTGGGAAAGGAAGTTGGAAAGCCATCAATTTGATGCTTTGGATTGTTTGGACTTGCAGGGCATGCGGGCAAGCCTGACAGGAACGGGCGGAAGAGTCGCAGAAGGCTCTTCAAGAACTGGATCGATGCCACTCGGGCATTGAACAGAGTTGTTGCAAAGTGCCTACTCACATTTTACCAAATTTCTGTCACAGAAGAATGGATTTACTTCACCACCAGGCGCAGACATCAAACAGGGCCTTCTGCAAAAGATGACGGCTGCAGCAGGTGCTGGCGAGCTTGAAGCGGCATCGTGGCTGGAAGTTCATGAATGGATTTTCATTTCTGTCAGCAGATCCCTTTGAGTCTTTTTACCTGGTTCAGTCGCAGCATGAGCTAGAAGGCAAAGCTTGCATCTAGGTACTCACGGCCGTGGGGTTAGACCACAGCCGCACTCGCATCCAGTCGTTGCTGGAGCAGTCCGCCGAAACAGGACAGGGGCAAAAGTGAGAAACGTGCCCTTTCCTGGTTGAATTGCTTCGATTGGACCCACTTTTCTTAGGCGTTTCTTCTTCGCTGGGCCTTCACTTTGGCGGGAAGTCGGTGGGAAAGATTGTGGGCCCAGAATCCGGGAAAGCGGGGTTGCAGGGGGTTTATTGGTTGCCAGAGCTTGCTTCGGTCCGCCCTTGCTGAAGAAGCACGGGTGATTGGCGGTGGCATGCTGAGGCGTTGAGGCTTCATCTTTTCGACGTTTTGCCTTGTCAAGCCGAGTTGCTTCACAGGCGAGCTGGAGGCAGCACTGAAGAGGACTTTGGAGCACAAGGATGCAGCAGCCTCTTGGCCCGTCGAAGAGAAAAGCCTGGCAGCCTAACTGTTCGCCGTATGAACAAGGCTCATTGCTCCTAGGTTGTAGGCATAGCGCTGCGAGCACGAGCCTCTAGAGCATGAAAGTTTGTTTGGCCTCAGCCTTTCCTCTCTGTCATCAGTCACCGCACCCAATTCTTCTGGAATGGCTTGTCACAGAATGACCGCATGGCCTCAGGCGGTGGACAAGGTGAAGACGCAGCTGCGGGATGCCTTGCTGAGCGCCAACGAGTCTGGCAAGCTGCTCCAGGTGATGGAGGGGTCGCTTTGTTTGCGTCAAGTTAAGTTTTGATTGTAGCGTTTCCATGGTTTCCCAACTCACTTTCATTTGCGGTCACCTGAGCACGTGTGAGAGGAGTCATTTGATACTCGCCAAAAGCGTTCGCTTAGGATCACTGCGGACGGTGGCAAGGCCAATGCTCTCGAGTTGCAGCGCCAGCTGCGGAGCAGCCTCGTTGACGCCAATGAAGCGGGTGAGGCGCTCAAAGAGATGGATGGGAGGCTCGGCTCAATGAGATGAGATCTGTCTCGTGCTCGTTGGGATGGCCATTTCGGTCGAACATCCACGAAGCAAAATAGAATTGCAGTGGCCCAGGTTGGTTGAGCAAGTAGGGCAACATCGGGAAGCACAGGCCCTTGTGAGTCATTGACCGCATTCTCAAATATCGCAAGGCCAAGAAGGGTGGCGATAGATAGCTGCAGGGAGTGTAGAGGAATGATGCAGATAGACATTCTTGCTTGACTACATGGGGTTCTTTGGCTAAAGGTGTTTTTACATCTGCAAGGTTCGCTCTGCGAAATGCTGGCAAGGAGTCTTTCCACCAAAGGCGCGAGGTATGGACGCAACCCAGCCATCAGCCTCACAATTGGCTATTGGGTGCGGTGCCATGAAGACTTGCCTTGCCCGTGTTCCAAGGATGTGGGCAAAGAAGGAGGCTGACGCCCAGGAAATCGCCAGGCTGAAAAGCCGGCTGCGCGCCGCGCTGCAAGCGACCAATAACACGGGGCAGATGCGCCAAGTGCTGGAAGGGACTCTTGGCCGAAGAAGAGAAATCAATTTTTGCCGCTTGTGGTGCGATCCCAAGGTGGATACAAGTGAGCAGGCCACGATTTCTCCTGCAAGACTTTTCCAGCCTGGCCTAGCCTTGCCTAGCCTTTCCTGGCCTTTCCTAGCCTTGGCCTCGTGCGCGTTGCGTGCGGTGTTGTGCTGGCAAGGATGACTACAGCGAGGGAAGCGGATGAGAAGGAGGCTGAGAGGATCAAGTGCCAGCTGAAACAGGTGCTGCTTGATGCGAACAAAAGCGGCAAAATGCTTCAAGTGCTCCAGGAGAAGCTTGCCTGCAGTTTTGGTTTCGTTGTATCGCAGAAATCGCAGAACTTGTCCTCAACATCAGCACGCCCCCCCGAGCTTTTGAGACGCATGCTGAATGCTGCCAGATGGGCACCCAAGGATCACTACAGAGCAAGAGGAGGCAGAAAAGCTGCACTGTCTCTTGCGGGAAGCGCTGCAGAGCGCCAACGAATCCGGCCAGATGCTCCAGGCTCTTGAAGAGACGCCCAGCTGTAATTTGAGTCAAGCACAAACTGAAACCGACACATTATGGACATCACGTCGTTCAAAGCTTGGAGCCAAAACTCTGAGAAGCTAACCAGCAGCGGCTCGGCTCACGAAAGCTTAGGACCACTGCCAAGAAGATAGCAGATGCTGCTGAAGCAGAGCGCGTGCAGACTGAACTTCGTGATATGCTGCTTACTGCCAACGAGTCTGGACGGCTGCTCAACGTGCTGCAAGGGCAGCCTGGCAAATGGCATGATCCATGCGCAGCATTCTCCACATGTCGCAAGATCCGCCATCGGACAATCCCCCTTGTTCTCCTTCCAAGGCCGGTGTTAGTTGTTTGCCCTGGCAAACTCTCATTTCATTTTAACAGGCAATGTCACGCTGGGCTAAGGGCGTCCTTCGAGGTCCCGGACGAGGCAGGGATTGAAATACAAGCCTTCAGCGTGAAGGGGCCCAGTGCTCACAGTGTCCATTGTAACTCATATATTGGAAACGCACTCGCAAGCATGTAAATGTGAGCACGGCCGTGGTCGGTTTTGACAGAGTTTGGGTCGCTGTCCGGGGACACGGCCAAGTCACTAGCCAATGGGCAAAGATTGTTTGAGCCAACCGCTCCATTTAGGATCCTGGGGTGGCCATGGCTGCCTGCGATTTGTGCATGGTGCATGTGGAATTTGTTGCCCTGCGCTCCGGGCTCGCAGCTCAGGAGGTTGGCCGCATAAAGGGCCAGCTGCGAGATGTGTTGCTGGATGCGAACAAGACGGGCAAGATGGAGGAGGTGCTTTCAGAGTGGCGTGGCGGCAGGTCTTGAGGTCATATGTTTTCATGCAGAGGCCTGGAAAGGGGGGGGGATCTGGCCTGGCCGCGCAACTTCTTGCATGCCTTACGGCCGAGAAGCATGCGCGTCCTTGCCATGGGAAGAAACAACCCCAGGAGGTCGTTGGGCAGCGGATGGTTTGTGATTTGATTAGTTTCTGAAAGAGTGAGCCCCGTGCCTCTGCAGGCTCTAGGCCTTGTCTCTTTGCTCAGAAGTCGCAATTTGATCCAAAGGCGACACCGCTGCACGATCAAATGCCAGCAGCTTATTGGGGAAGCCATGCTACGCTTGCACTGCGAAAGGCTGTTCTAGCGAACATCCTAGCTTGTTCAGAGCCTAATCCACAACGACTAGCGGTTTGCCAGCTATAAGGTTTACGGATTAGAGCCAACGGTTGCGGATTACGGATTGCAGGTTGCGCGGGTGTCCGATGCTCCAGCAAAAGGTTTCTACCCACAATTTGCAGAGCGGATTGCGGATTCAGGGTAGTCATGGATACGCAGCCAGAACAAGGAGTATGCGGATTACGGATTGTGATTAGGCCCCCTTATTTTGATCAGCCTCGCCATTTTCTCAGGGGGATTGGATGGATCGTGCCCAAGGATGTGTGGGGCAATGCCTCCGGCTCGAGTGCCCACCTCAGCATGAGCGCCACGCTATGCTGTCCTGCTCAATTTCTTTGGCCTCCTCTGACAAAGCATGGCAGCCTTGTCAAGACTCGAATGGGACGCCCAGGAGTGCGACGCCAAGGATGAGATGGTGCGGAAGCTGCTTGAGGCGACTGAGTCTGGCCAGCTGCTCACCATACTCCAGGAGAATCTTGGCTAAGTGCGGCAGCCGACGCAGATAGGAATCAGCCTGGCTCGTACCCTGTGCTGCAACAAAGGCGCTCGAGTCTCGTGGTTCATCCTGCTCAGCTTGGAATTTGGAATGCCATGGGAATGTACCTTCCAGCGCGCCTCCCATCCATTCCCAGTGCCCAGCCACCAGCGCTCTCAAGCTTTCTCAGGATATCTCCGCAGAAGGGGCCCGCAGCAGCCGCTCGTTTCATTGGAGGAAGTTTGCAATATGTCGGGCCCTACCGCATGGAAAATTAGTGGACAATCCGGGTGTCTGGATGCATTGGAGGGGCCACATGTATCAATGACGGGGACAAAGAAGGAGGCGTGTGCTGATTCCTCACTTTTCTGGCCGAAATGCGCTGACCTCATGCAGCCCGAGTTGCTGAGGCAGCAGCCGGTGAGGTTGCGCCGACGAGGTCCGGCTCCGATGGGCAGCACCTTTGCCTGCGAATGTGTCACAACTAGCTGCCTGATTTGGTCTGTTTGAAATTGTCAAAGGGGAGGCAAAAACGCAGCCAGCCCGTTTGAGATGCTTTTTGGAGCCAAGGACGAAGGCCAAGATGCGCGACGCCATGCTGGCAGCGGCGAAGAGCGGCAAGCTGACGGAGGTCCTCGACGAGCTCGAGCCCAAGGCCGAGGAGAAAGAGGCCGTCCCCGCCGTGGCGGTGCCGGTTGCAGCAGTCCCCGTGGGGCCAGCACCCTCGTCTGAGGCGCTGGGGGATGGTTTGTGCAATTGTGATGCGTCGAAAGCGGGGCACATCCAGATGGATGACGGGCAAAAGTATGAGCATGTATGAGCCTTTGAATTTTGGAGTTGGATGGCAACGCCGTGCCCACGTGTGGAACTATGTAGGAGTGTTGGCGGCGGTTGGCCCTTGAGTGCTCAGGACGCCACATCAAAATATGCCCCTGACAAGGTTGAGGTCCTGCGCAGCAACGTGCGAGAGAAGATGCAGGATGGGATCACGGGACCTTGACTGGCAGAATGCGCCGCCTGCGTGCGGGCTGGTTAGGGGCAAAACAGATCCTTGCACAATCGCCAGGAGTCCCTCGCCTCAGGCCGCCTGGAGGAAGGACTCAGCACTCTGGCCCAGAAGCAGCAGAAGCAGGTCGAAGCCCCAACCAAGGCAGAAGCCAAGGCAGAAACCCGGGTGCCAGATGAGCTGGCCATGCTGGGCAAGAAAATCTGCCGCTCGGGCGGGGCGGGGGGTAGGGTGGTGGCTGGTAGGGCGTTGTATTTGCAGTTGCTTAGCAGCCGCGTCATGCATCAAGCCGGGCATGCTGCGGGGCCCTTTTTTTGTTTGGGAAGCTCGTCCAGAACTGTAGTTCAGCCATTCTTGCTCTTGTGTTGCGCCTGGCCTGCGGGCTTGCACTTGGCTAATTCGAAGGAGCCAGTGAGCCTCAAGCAAGCTAGCAGCAAGCTAGCAGCAAGCTAGCAAGCAGCGCAGTTTCTGAGGCACTGGAGGCACTGCTTTTCTCAAGCTATGGAATTTGCATCTTGAAAGTCAAATGATTTGGTGTGTTGCTTAAGATTGTCAACGTGCGCCGGCAGCCCGGATCAAACACATCGTTGGCTTGTTTACTTGTGGAAGCTGCAGTTAAGGATGTGAGCCAACGCTCCCTCGAATGGCCGGAAGAGTTAAAGGACACCTTGCCAATGAGTATCCTTGACGATACTGAATCATGCATTCTCCCATTTATTGGCAACCACGACGAACTGGTGAAGTCGAGAGCTAGGCTTTCCGACATTCATTGTGGGAGGAGGCGGAAGTTGAATGATTGAGTCGAACAACTTACATTCATCCTCAGGGCATTTCAAAATCCCCTTACAAATGCTCACTGCCTTTTCCTGTGGGCAAACTTCACCCGCGTAGCTGCAAGCTTCCGCGCACTTCAGTCCATCCGAGGCAACGTGCTGCAGGAGGCCTCAAGCTCGGGGAAGCTGGAGGAAGCCTTGGAGCTTCTGAAGGAGGCGGGAAGCTGACCGCTGGTCACGCGCAGGCCTTGGCCTTATGCTTTGAACGTAAGGCTCGGCGTGCCTGCAAGGCCAACGGTGCATGTGTTGCCTTAAGCACAAGGCACACCGCATACGTTTCTCACTGGCTTTGTGGGGCCCTTGGATGTTGTAGAGTCCAAGCTGTACCAACTTCTGGCGTAGGATTGCGGCACAGACTCTGGGTTGTTGAGACCTGCTAAAGTTTAAGCCAGAGTTGCTGAAGATTGGTCCATGTTTCTGTTACTATGATCGTGCTCAATGCCAATGACTTCAGTGCGCTTACATAGGGATTGCAGATTGAGTTGCGTGGCATGCTATGCCATGCCAGGAGCAGCAGGCGGTCATCCGCTCAACGCCCGAGGACGAGCTGGAGGCAGTGCGCAGCAATCTTTGCTTAGTGGTGCAAGACGCCGCTGAGCATGCAAGCTTTGCGTGACTCCAGCCTGTCCAGCCAATCCAAGGGCATGGGGTTAGTTTTTGCTCGCAGACTGCGTCACGCTTTTGCCTTTCCACGCCCGGCTGGCCTAGCCGAGGCACTGGAGTCCGGCAAGCTGGAGTCGGCGCTTGGAGAAGTCCGAAAGCCAGCGGACGTGGCGACCATCCAGGCGAGGGGACGGAGGTCCTTCTGAAGGCCTTGGGCTTGCGGATTCCGAGGCCATCCGGGACCTCTAAGAGATGCAACCTCCTGACGAGGGTGTCCCGCACACCCAAAAAGACAACTAGGCCTTCCAGCCAGGCAGCCTGATTCAAGGTTGACGCCTTCCATAGGTCTGCTACTTCTAGAATTTGTCCGAGTTCTGCACTGTCTACTGCCGAGGTAGAGGGACATGTAATCTTTGGCAATCGCAGCTCAGAATGGCATGTCTCATGTTGTTGTGGCAGCTCAGAATGGCATGTCTCATGTTGCTGTGCCGGTTCCGGAGCATCGTCCAGATCCCTGCCCCCTTCCGGCAAGCCCGGCGAACCTTCCAAAATCCAGCTAGCGCAAGACGGTATCAGAAAAGTGGGTTCCTCACGTGACGTGCAGGACCCTTTTAGGACACGCCGTGCGTCCCTCTGTGAAGGCCAAATTCCGGAAGCTGCTGCGGGAGGCGTTGGAGAGCGGCACGTTGGCGACCAGGGTGGCCCTGCTGAAGACCAAGGCAAGTTTGATGTGTCGAGGGAGGTGCTATGCAAACGACACCGAGCCTTGTAATCTACATATGGGAAAACTGGCCGGCGGGGTGGCCCAACTGGAGGGCAACACCGATACCCCGATAATTGGTAACACTCACAGATGTGAGTTGGCTGGAGAGGACACAGCGTGCTATCTGCATGAGAAGCCCCTTCATTGGCATTCAGAACCTTTCGGGCTAGATTTGCATGGTTGCCATTGCAATGTGAGCCGCGCTTGAATTGGCTGGTGTGCACGGCTACATGCCCATCCGGCACAGGTGCCCGCTCCACCCTCGGAGCCCCCGCCGAGCGAGATGGACATGCTGAAGTCACAGCTGCGCCAGGCGTTTGGAGATGTTGGGAGCGGTTGCACCGGGTGTCCCCTGGTCCTATGCCGGAGGCTCTGCAGCATGCCGCAGAAGCGGGGCACCTTGCAGAGGCGCTGGCAACTTTGCGAGGCGGGAGCTTTGGGGCGGGATGGTCGAGTGTCCCCTCCGACTAGCGATGTTTTCCGCATGGGTGTCAGCCCAAGTCCATAAAGCCGACAATAGAGATCATTGGAGTCACCAAAAGGTGTCATAGGCTGCTTCAAGCCAGCAAATGTATCAAGCTCGCTGACCAAGCTGAGCATTCGATGCGACAATGTGACAGGTCAGGGGCAAGCAGTGGACACCACCCAGCTCAGAGCTCTAACGGAGGCCGGAGGGCTTGCTTGGGTCCGCTGGCAATGCAAGGCCTAAGGCAGTTTGCGGCACCATGTGGGGCCGCATGCACGAACACAATCACACTCACCTCTCTGATTTCAACAAGGCAGGTGCCTGAATGAAAGTGAGCACGTTTGGAGGCTGCTTTGACGGGGACCTTGGACGAGACAATCAGCTCGCTGAAGGCGCTTAGATGCCATGTCAGCCGGTTGTCTTGCTGCTCTTGTGCAGCCACCGGCAAGGTTGAAAGGAAGCTACCCTCATGCAACAGAAATATCATGAGATTGTACGTCTCTTCCCCCCTGAAGGAGGCGGATCACAGTATGTCGTGCCTTGTTCGTCCGGTCTGCAGGATGGGCTGGCAGTGAGGTCTCCCAGCGAGGTCCGGCTTGGTGGCACCGGGACGCTCTGAAGTTCGGACGTGGCTTGGGTGGAAACACAAACAATATGGCACACAAGTGTTCAGCCATAAAAGCTAACGTGCGTCATGGTCAGAGGGATGCCTTAGATACTGGTTATTTTTGGCTAGCGCTCGGAACGGGTACCGTGAGCAAGGAGGAGATGTACATGCGTGTGTGCCTACGTATGTGTGTGTAGGCAGCTATGTGTGCAATGGAATGTGGCAATGGAATGCGGTGTGCGATGTAAATGTTTTGCAACGCAAAGCAGTGTAACATATGTCTTGTATTGTAGTGCTGTGCAATGCCATGCGATTGAGTGTATCATGTAATCAATGCATGCTGCAAGCGTGTGTGTATGCATGCGTGGACATGTGTGATGTAAATATTATTTGGTTTTGAGCTGCGTTGTGTTCAGTTTGGTCGTAGGGCGCGTGTGTTGGCATGCCGTCGTGTTTGAAGCGTTTTACCCCGTGTTTTTCCCTTCACTTTGTTCCACGCAGCGGCCGCGAGCTAGATTCTGATTTAAGAGCCCTTATTCGAGGGCTGTTTGTTTGACACTGTTTGTTGCAAGATTCGCGAGCTTGCAGCGTGGGCTTTTGGGATTTATGTCTTTCGGTTGGGGCTTTGATTCTATGACTCTTCCACGCAATTGTGTCACGGCATGATGTCGCTCCTCAAGCCTTTGTGCCAGGCTGTTGATCCGCCACCGCTGGCGGGCGCAGAAGGTGTGACTCGGCAAATTAGCCGAATGATAAGACGACTACCTTCAGGCTTTTGAGATTATCAGGTGTCTTTAGTTTTTGTGTGCATGATTGCGCAGTTAGCAGAATTTGAAGCCTGAAGCCCTTTGTGCTTGTCTGACCTCAGGTGGTGCATCAACCAATCAATTTGTGCAGCATGCTTTTTCCCTTTGAACAAGCATCTCCTGATGCCCTTTGGAAGTCAATGCAGGCAGGAGAAACCAATGCCGCAATCGTGTTTCTGACTCGACGCATAGGCGGCTGGTTTGCCTGGATTGTCGATGAACATGTGCCGAGAAAAGAAACAGGAAAAGGAGTTGCAAGGCTCGGCCTGAAACATCCGTCCGAGCAGGTCCGGCAGAACAAGTGCCAGAGTTTATAATCAGCTTGAAACTTTATCCATGCCATCACACACATCATTCCTTACCTCGCAGCTCCGTTTGAGTGCTTGTTGCTGCAAATCGCCGCAATGCGCTTGTTTGTTGTAGCCACAGCTGTTTTGAGCTAGTAGCGCCATACTGGTGAGCACTTCGGTTGATTCTCGCACCTGAGGCGCCTCCTCCAGAAGCAAGCCCTGCTGCTGACGAGGCGTGGCAAGGAATCGGCAACGCAGACACCCTCACAGACTGCAAACGGTCCCCCTGCCTCTCTCGTTCTTTGTGCTCATTCTTGCTTGCTTTTATTGTTTCTTTGCTTATTGCCTGCGTTAGTTCATTCTCTATTTTATCATTTTATTCTTTCTGGCATTCTTTCATTCCTTCAGATTGTCCTTCGTTCATTATTTCCTTGTTTTTATTTATTTCATTGTTTGATTATTTCATCACTTCTTTCATTATTTCCTTTTCTATGCTTAGCTTTGTGTCTCTTGTGGCCGTCTCTCTTTCTCTCTTTCTCTCTTTCTGTCTTTCTCTCTTTCTCCCTATGCCAACGCTACTAGTAGTCGTTGCACCCGCGTTTACCGAGCATTGCCGATTGCAAGAAGGGGAAGGCTCCGTGTAATTAAATGGATTTCCGTACACGTGTGTACTATCTTTCTGGCAGAGGTGACTCGGTATTGAAGCAGGCTTGTTCATCATGTGCGCGTCTTCGCCTGCCTGGCATTGTGATCCTACTGTGAGGGTCACGTTGGCAGGCAGCCCAAAACCTTTGTGAATACAGTAGAAAGTGTTCAGCCGGCATACGCAAACACAAACTGAGTTTTCCTTTTTTTTTCTCAGTGAAGCAGTTCAAACTTGATGTTACGAACGTGCTCATTGGGAGAGCCATACTTGCACAGATGGCCTGCCGCCAGCCCGTCCAAACGCCATGCTATCGTTGGAGCTCAGCATTTGGGATTCCTTGTTTCCCATATATAAAGTTTTTGCCTGAGTGAAACGCACAAGCAGGTCTAGCTTGTCGTGCCTTGTGCCCGGTGCATCAGGTTGCCTATGGCACGCAGGGGATGGAGGCGGGCTTCATACAGACCAGGGCCTTCCTTCCCTCCCTTTGCAGCGCGCACAAGCTGCACCAATTGTCTAGTGTGCTTTGGCTTGACTTTGGCCATTTTGGTCCCTTGCACTTGGGAGCCAATCAGTTGCTTCGATCTGTCACGACCTTGGGTTTGAGACAAGCTGCAAGCCTCGCCCTCTCGCCAAATCATTGGCCAGGAGAAGGAGCTGGAGGCGCTTCGGGGCCGGCTGCGCGGCATCCTGGAGGTGGCCTGCGACCAGGGCATCCTGGAGCAGGCGCGGCCGCTCCCTGGGCCCAAGGAACACCTGTGATGGCACCTTTGTGGAACACAGCGTTGCAGCCGCAGGTTCTTTTTGTGAACTCTCGCGGGCTATTTCTTTACTTCAGTTTTTCCAAAGGCATCAGATCAGGTTCCACGCCTGCGCAGACATGCAACGGGGGGGGGAGGTGCCTGTGCGAAAAAAACATGGTGTGTGAGTGTGTGTCGCTTTTGCCTAACCGTCGTCGTCTTTGTTGTTGCTGTTGCTGTTGCTGTTGTTGCTGTTGTTGCTGTTGTTACTACTATTGCTATTGTTGCTATTATTACTATTATTAGTTGGTTAGTTGATTAGTTAATTAATTGGTTGGTTGGTTGGTTGGTGTGGTTGGTGTGGTTGGTGTGGTTGGTGTGGTTGGTGTGGTTGGCGTGGTTGGCGTGGTTGGCGTGGTTGCTGTGGTTGGTGTGGTTGGTGTTGTGGGTGTTGTGGTTGGTGTGGTTGTGGTTGCGGTTGGTGTGGTTGTGGTTGTCGCTGTGGTTGGTGTGGTTGGTGTTGTGGGTGTTGTGGTTGGTGTGCTTGTGGTTGTGGTTGGTGTGGTTGTGGTTGTGGTTGTGGTTGTGGTTGTGGTTGTGGTTGTGGTTGTGGTTGCTGTTGTTGCTGTTGCTGCTGTTGTTGTTGTTGTTGTTGTTGTTGTTGTTGTTGTTGTTGTTGTTGTTGTTGTTGTTGTTGTTGTTGTTGTTGTTGTTGTGTTGTTGCTGTTGTTGTTGCTGTTGCTGTTGGTGTTGTTGTGTTGTTTGTTGTTGTTGTTGTTGTTGTTGTTGTTGTTGTTGTTGTTGTTGTTGTTGTTGTTGTTGTTGTTGTTGTTGTTGTTGTTGTTGTTGTTGTTGTTGTTGTTGTTGTTGTTGTTGTTGTTGTTGTTGTTGTTGTTGTTGTTGTTGTTGTTGTTGTTGTTGTTGTTGTTGTTGTTGTTGTTGTTGTTGGTTGTTGGTTGTTGTTGTTGTTGTTGCTGTTGCTGTTGGCTGTGCTGCTGCTGTTGTTGTTGTTGTGCTGCTGCTGCTGCTGCCGCTGTTGTTGTTGTTGTTGTTGTTGTTGTTGTTGTTGTTGTTGTTGTTGTTGTTGTCGTGTGTGTGTGTGTGTGTTGTGTTGTTGTTGTTGTTGTTGTTGTTGTTGTTGTTGTTGTCGTTGTTGTTGTTGTTCGTTGTCGTGTTGTTGTTGTTGTTGTTGTTGTTGTTGTTGTTGTTGTTGTTGTTGTTGTTGTTGTTGTTGTTGTTGTTGTTGTTGTTGTTGTTGTCGTCGTCGTTGTCGTTGTCGTTGTCGTTGTCGTTGTCGTTGTCGTTGTCGTCGTTGTCGTCGTTGTCGTCGTTGTCGTCGTTGTCGTCGTTGTTGTCGTTGTTGTCGTTGTCGTTGTTGTTGTTGTTGGCTCAACGGGGGGCGGGGGGGTTGCCCAGGATTTCAGCAGCGCAACATACTGTAAAACGCAGCACGTCGGACATGTGACTTCCACATCGTCCTGTTTTTACCAGGACATTTGGCTGTCGGCAGAGTCGAAACTATACCTGTGTTCGTTGTCTTGTCATCAGTGCATTGCAGCCTTGTGACACACGATGCCTTGGCACATACCATGGCAGATTGGTGCGCGACGTGCTGTAAAACGCAGCAAATATTACACATATCATTGGGCATTCGCATTGCTTCGCAGTCAATGGCTCCGCTTTTGTTTGGCATCTTCATGTCAGCATGATGTTGTTAGTCGCACGTCGGGCATCGTTTTTACAAACATCGCGCGCACGACTTGGAAATCACGGGCAAAGCCCCCCTGGCCGTTTTGTTGCAAAAGCTGCCAGCTGGTAAGCACACCTGCCAAAAGCTGCCAACTGGTAAGCACACCCGTTCAAGTGCACCCCTGTAGAACTGCCTCCTAGGATGCTAACTGGTAAGCACACCCGTTCAAGTGCACCCGCTCAGAACTGTATCCAAGCCCACCATAACTGTATCCAAGCCCACCAACTGGTAAGCACACCCGTTCAACTGCACCCGCTCAGAACTGTATCCAAGCCCACCAACTGGTAAGCGCACCCGTTCAAGTGCACCCGATTAGAACTGTATCCAAGCCCACCAACTGCACCCGCTCAGAACTGTGTCCAAGCCCACCAACTTGTATGTGCACCCGCTCAAGCCCACCAGCTGGTAAGCACACCCGTTCAAGCGCACCCGCTCAGAACTGTCTCCAAGCCCACCGACTGGTAAGCGCACCCGTTCAAGCGCACCCGCTCAGAACTGTATCCAAGCCCACCAACTGGCAAGCGCACCCGTTCAAGTGCGCCCGATGAGAACTGTATCCAAGCCCACGAACTGGTAAGCGTCCGCTCAAGTGCACCTGCTCAGAACTGTATCCAAGCCCCCCCACTAGTAAGCACACCCGTTCAAGTTCACCCGCTCAGAACTGTATCCAAGCTGACCAACTGGTAAGCACACCCGTTCAAGTGCACTTGCTCAGAACTGTATCCAAGCCCACCAACTGGTAAGCGCCCCCGTTCAAGCACCCGCTCAGAACTGTATCCAAGCCCACCAACTAGTAAGCACACCCGTTCAAGTGCACCCGCTCAGAACTGTATCCAAGCCCACCAACTGGTAAGCACACCCGTTCAAGTGCACCTGCTCAGAACTGTATCCAAGCCCACCAACTAGTAAGCACACCCGTCCAAGTGCACCCGCTCAGAACTGTATTCAAGCCCACCAACTGGTAAGCACACCCGTTCAAGTGCACCCGCTCAGAACTGTGTGTGTGTGTCGGTGTGTTGTTGAGTTTTTTGTGTCAATCCTGGCCTTGACCGGAAACATTGCCTGCCTAGGGTTGGTTTTAGTTTGCGAGAACAGCTCTGTGTGGGCCAAACAACACGTTTTTCATGATCGGTGACATTGTTCTTCCGGCAAACCCTCCCCGGCCGTTTCGCATTGTTTTCCCGGGCAAACCCCCCCCGTCCAACCTTGTTGTTGTTGTTGTTGTTGTTGTTGTTGTTGTTGTTGTTGTTGTTGTTGTTGTTGTTGTTGTTGTTGTTGTTGTTGTTGTGGTCGTCGTCGTCGTCGTCGTCGTCGTCGTCGTTGTCGTTGTTGTTGTTGTTGCTGGCTGGCGCGCTGGCTGGCGGGGTTGGTTTAGCTAGTTAATTGTTTGCTTGGTCGGTCGATTGGTTGGCTGTTGGTAGGCTTCTTCATTTTTCAACCCCCTTTCTTGATTTTTTTCTGCTTCTTGTGCCGCCCCAGGGCCTTTGCGCTCTAAACCTACCTTAAACCTCCTGAAGCCTAATCTAAACCTGCCCTAAACTAACCTTGCTAAACTGCCTAAACTTACCGCCCCAAACCTGAACCGCGCATTGATCCTAAACCTACCCCATATGTATATATCTACGCTATCCCACCCGAAACCTACCCTAAATCTGCCCCGACCCTCTAAACCGACCCTACACCTACCCATACCTTTACCCACGCTGAACCTACCCTAAACCAACCCTAAACCCACCCTGAACCGACCCCAACCCGAACTCACCATACTAGTAGAGCCGGCGAAGCCGGTGGATGGAAGTTTCAAAAATATAAGAACTACAGTTCTCTTTCCCTTTCTTTTCTTGACTCTGTTTTCTCTCTCCGTTTTTTCACAATTGTTTTTTCCATTTTCTTCCTGCCCTATTGCTATCTATCCATCAACAAGTACCTGCTTAAACCTCTATCTATTCACAAAACGATCTGTTTCTCTGTCTATTTGTTGACATACCTGCATTTGCTTCTGCATTTTTGCTTGTTTTCTTTCTACATATCTGACCTGTGCATGTACCGATCTATCTATCTACCTATTTGTCCAGTAGTTTATCTCGCTCTCTCCCTCTCTCCACCTATCTAGACATCTACTTGCTTTTCCATCCATTCATCAATCTCTCTTTAGTTCTCTTGCAAATTTAGCCTGCCACGAAATCGAAAGTGCTGCGCCTGGCACGAAATCGGTACCTGACCTTTCGAAAGTGCTGCGCCTGCCACGAAATCTGTACCTAACCTTTCGAAGGTGCTACGCCTGCCACGCAATCCTTGGGAAAACTTGGCCTTGGGAAAGTGCTGCGCTTGCCACGCAGATCTGCGCCAATTCATGCACAGGGCCATGCTTTTTGCGCATTTCTATTCTCCTACGACACGCGTGTGCGTTTTTTCTCGCATGTTTATTCCTTCTCTTGTCATCTCCGACAGAGCTGGCTAGCATTCAAGTAGTTGCCCTGACACGGAAGTTCCTTCTAGACTTCGTTTGGTTAATAATAACACGCCCGAAATCTATCCTGAGCCTGCCCTAAACCACCCTAAGCCTACCTACCTTAATTCCCGCCCCAAACGCCCTTAACCTATCCTCAGCCAACCCTGACTTCAGCCTTACCCGCCCCAAGCTCACGTAAACTTAGATGCTGTCCTTTCGTGCGCGCCAGGGTGTCCCAGGGTTAGGGTCGTCGCCACGGCTAGGCAATAGAATATCCCGGCAAGACAAGAACCCAGGCAGGTAATTTCTTTTTCGGCAGCCGCAGCAGATGCGCGCAGGATCTCTACAGAATGTCTTGCGTAAATTCAAGCAGAAGCCTTCTGAAGCTTCTTTGGAAGATCTCCTGTGGAAAGACGTTCCGCGCCGGTTTCTCTAACATAGATTTAGGCATCTTTCTGTAGAAGCCCTTGACAAGATCTCTGTGGAAGGATCTTCGGGGTGGGTGGGTAGAATCTCGTGATAGGATCTCTTGGCAAGATCTTTGTGCAGGAACTCTGGCTGGAAAGGCTCTCTTGATATAATCAACCTAGGATCCAGGAGACGACCCTCTTTTTACTGAAGCCTCCTGTCTGTCCAGGATCTACAAGATCTCGTGCTCATTTTGCAAGTCCTGCGCTTCGCGCAGCGAGGGCAATCCGAGCCACCTAAAGTCCGCAGAGGGTTCACTTTCGATGTTCAACATTCGCGCCGCGCCGCAACGAGACAACGAGAGCGATCCGATCCGCCCAAAGTCCGCAGAGGGTTCACTTTCGATGTTCAATATTCGCACCGCGCCGCAGCAAGAACGCCCCGACCCGCCCATCCGCAGAGGGATCGCTTGTGATTTTGAGAACCGCACCGCGCCGCAGCGAGAGCGATCCGACGTGCAGTCCGCAGAGGGTTCACTTAATAGAAATCGGACCGACCCAAAATTTACGCGATGTTCAAAATTCGTGCAGTGTCACAGCGAGTGCGATCGAACCTCCTTGCGGCGCCAAAGTTCGCTGCGCCCGCATCATGCTCCTTTTGCGACGGTGCGCGTCACTGGCAGCCTACTGCCTGCGCCTGAACATGAGTGCCTTCGGTCTGAAACCGAAGTTTCACGCGCTTCATGATTTTGCTTATTCATTGAAGTTGGACCTTGAGAAAGGGGCTGTGCTGAGCCCAAAGTCCACAGAGGGATCACGTTCGATGTTCAACATTTTGCACCATGCCACAGCGAAAGCGATCGCCCGAAGTCCGCAAAGGAGCGATTCAACAAAGTCCGCAGGGGGTTGATTTCGATGCAAACAAATCGCACTTCCACAAGGCCCAACCCGGCCAAAACCTCGTTTTCCGAATTCGCGCGGGACCACAGCAAGAGCAGAGCCTCGAAAGACACCAAATTGGTCCAGGCACTTTGTGCGCGCCTGCGCTGTCGCAATGTGCATGAACATCTCACAAGAGAACTTTTGCGGAAGCCTGCGCAGCCGAGAAGCGCCGCCCAACAAAATATCGCCCTGCTGTCTCGTAGCGCTGACACACTGTTTGGGGAAAACACATCAGCCACGGTCAGCAGCCAGCTTAAACCAGAAGTTCTCAAACAGTTTGGGGGTCGGTGGTAAGATTTATTGTGGCTGGGCTGTGGCAAGTTGCGGAGTTTTCGTTGGCATTTTGGACTTGCAGCCACTGTGGGATGGGCCTGGCATTTGCGCGCCTTTGTTTGAGGCGCTTCTTGGTCTTTGCCCTGGGCCCCTGATGAAGCCTCAAAATTGGATGTAAGTTTTCTTGAAATGGGGATTCGATCGACACACCCTGGCAGGCAGTGCAAGTTGCAGTGAAGAAGAACACAGAGGGTGAGGCGGAAGCTGACTCGGCCGACCTCCAGGCAGTCTGAAGCTTCGCCCAAAGATTTACTTCACGCCACCTTGCAACACTGGTAACAAGGCACTGCAAGGTTCATTTAGCTTTTTATCAAGTATTATCTTGATATGCTCTCGATGCATGGCCGGCGGATGGAATGCGAGACCTGCCCCAGGCGAAGTTGACGGAGATGCGCGAAGAAAGCAAGACGCTCTACTCAACGGTGGAGAGGCTAAAGATAGAGAAAGAGGATCCCGCAGAGTTGGGAGTTGGGGAGGGCTTTGCTGCACCCCATCGCAGACAGCACCATCAACAAGTCACAGCTCTTTCGTGTGGCTTGTGGGTGAAGGAATTGATCCACGCAAGTCCGAGAAGTCAAGCCAGCTATATAGCCCTCTGCGGTCAGAGAAATTGCGAGCGTTCCTTTTACCTTTGCAGGAGTTGGAGCGTGCCAACAAAGACCTTGCAAGTCGATTGTCAGCCCCGAGCACATGACAGGCAGGCTGCAAGGGACACAGCCACAAGTCCTCCTCATTGTGAACGGGTCTCAGTTCAACGATTGACTTGTCCTTTGTATGTACGAGATCCTCTCCAATTTGTCCTCTGCCCGTCCCGCGGATAGCTGGACTGGCCCCCACTTTCCACATAATATGTTGCCACTCTTCCGGCGCAGGCATTTGCACAGTGAGACGCGCGTTGAGCCACCGCTGGAAGCATGAGGCAGAATGCATGTAAGAGCTTGATGCTTGATTGGTCGGGGGCCAATTGAATCACAAGCAGTTCAAGCAGCCTAAGCAAGCGACAGTTCTTCTCGGGCTGCCCGGAGTTTCACCCTAAGTCAGAGCTATCTGAAGCGGCGCCTGGCAGTGCTCCTGGCTGTGCGGAAATGGCAGTTCAGAGAAACAGAGCTTCGTTTTCTTTTCGCTCACGCGGGCGAAAGGTCCCGCACAAATGGGACATTGAAGCAATCCAGATGCGAAAGGGGGACTGCATCAGGCAAAGAGCAAAGGGCAAATCCCTGGCTCTCAAGCTACCTGGATTGCTGCCAGGGCGGAAACACGCTTACGCATATCTGGCTTGGTCGCCAAGCAGGCGCCAGTATGGCGTTCAGTGTCACCTTCGATGGGGCGGATGTTGGCATTCTTGTTTCGGGCAATCTGAGCCACAGTACTCTATTGCAGCCCACCTCTATTTCATTTCAGCTTGCCTCCGCCCAAAGCTCAGGCATGTATGTGATGCAACTGCCACATGCTTGACCGCCGGATCATAAGTTGATCCCTGGTTTGTTGGGTTCTTGGGCCTACCACCCTGGATATTCGACTTTCAATGCAGAGTCGGGGCTATGGCAAGTTGTTGTAATCCAGCTTGGAGGAAAAGGATTTTGCACTGGCTGGTTCGCTTGCGTGGGCATGCTTGGAATGGACCTGTGTATGCAATGAAGGCACATATTTTGTCCCTTGCTGCTGTTGCTTTGTGCTTAGCCATCATCAAGTACTTCTCTTCAGGCTAGCCTAGAAATCCGCAACATATTGTGGGACTAGAACTTCTACAGCTCGGGTTTGTGGTCACCCGGCTTGATACCTCGGTTGTTTTTGGAATGCCGAGCTTGGCTAAGTGCATTTGGATGGGCCCTGGTCTGACCTGAGACGTGCCATCGGGGATTGCAGGTATGGCATACTTGAGTTTCAACGAGAGTTGTCGCCTCAGCACGTTCAGCGAAGGATGCTCCATGCGCAGCTGGATGGGGGGGGGGGGGTGAATTTGAAATTGAGATGTGTGTTTGGGGAACACGAACAGTTCCGCGAATGGCTTTGTTTCAATAAGGTGTGTAATTTGTGCCGAGGCTTCAACACGAACTTGAAGTTCACCACGGACGGGGGAGATGACAGCGACGACATGCTGAAGAAGGATGGGGATACTAATGCGTTCGTGAATGGAACGCAATTTGGAGTTGACTTGGCCCTTTGATCCACAAGGATGGGCCAACGTGAGCTGCTTGAATTGCGTTTTGTCGGGTAAGGCTTCAGTGGGGGGGAAAACAAGGGGATATATGCGCAAACGTGAACAACGGGGTCGGGCGCATAAAGTGGAAAAAGGGCGAGTACGGGGTGAAGCACCGAGGAAACCATATACCGGCCGTATACCAACAGCTAAGAGATGTGGGTTACAGAGGAGCTTTGCGCAGCCCAGCCTGGAGGTGTTGTCCCAGCCACCCCCAAAAGCCTCGCAGCGGCCGGGCCCCCCATGGACTCACGGCAATGAAAGCCAGTGTGCCACATCTGTGCATGCCCCTCCCCAAGGGCTATGTTCTCCCATGGGCTGTGGAGAGTCTGCCAGCAGAACGATGAAAGATCGAAGAGCCATCCTGAAACACTGCAGTGTCAGCTTCGGTGCTCACCTTCGCACCTTGAGCCCCAGCCTTGCAGGACTTGCCTTTGCGCTACACATGGTCCATTTGGGAGCAGCTTCTTGGAAGCAATCCAAACTCGTCAAGTTAGAAAAGCGATGCCATACTAGTTCGCTTCGGGAGCAGTTATCAAGACTAGTAAGACTAGTTCGCTGGTGTTCGTTTCTGGGCTACTGCAAAGACTGCAACCATACTTCAATCGAGCGTCAGAATGTGTGGTCTGCCTGGTTTGGGCAACGCCTCCGGAGAGTCTAGGCTTCCATTCCTTGCCATGCGATGCAATGCGGCAGTCATTCTGCGACACCATGTAGCCAATACATGACGGACAATTGCAGCAGCCCCACCTCAGGATCATGCAGTCAAGCGACAAGTCATCTGCCTATTCGGATGCCACTCACAAGGACGGGAGTGGCGTCCCAAATCTGGACAATCATGGTTGAGCATGCCGAGCAGCCATGTCATGTCAGTATTTTTTCCGCCTGGGTGTTGAATGGGGGCTTCGTGCGGCCAGGGCTGCTGTTTGTTTGGGCTACCACGTTAAAGCTGAGCCTCGTTGGCATAAGCAAAGCCAGTGCCGCGTGCCATTTAGCCTGACGTAGCGACCTAGCAATGGCCACATTGGGTAGATTCACCATGAGCCAGGTCGCGAGCTTCTCGACGGTCAGGGTCTCAGGCGCCTGCCGTCGCCTGGCCCTTCAAAGCATTCGAGATCTCAGTGCTCATTGTCCTCATTGTATCTTATTGTCCTCATTGTGCTCATTGCGCTCATTGCGCTCATGCAAAAGCCCACGACAACGCTTGAGGTCCAGAGCTTCTGGAAGCTTTGGAACCACATGCCCGGTCCTCAGCGGACCACAGTTAATGCAGCAAGGGCCGGAGGATGAAAAAGCTTTGGCAAAGCTTTTTGCAACAACGCACGGCTGCCCATGATGCTTGCTGGATGGAAGTGTGCGATTGTTGTCAGTGCGCAACCAAGAGTTTGCCCTTGCAAAAAGGAAGATGGAAGGACAAAGGCAAGCCGACCTCCTTGCGCCGAAGAGTCAGAAGTTCTGTCACGATTTCTTCATGCCACATTCAAACGTAGCTTTTCCCAGGGCGTGCCCTGGCGTCTGATGTGTAAAACAAATCGGATGGGCAGATGGGTTTGCCACCCAGCGACCAGTCAATCACCTCCCTGGCTGCAGGCCCCAACCAAGCGAGCTTCTGGAGCAGAAGAGGATGGTGCGGGAGCAGTCGGATGGGCCAGGAACCAAGAGGCATGCGTCGCCTGCCAAGGTTGCCCGCAGGAAAAAACAGATCATATGTGGGTCCAGCCGAGAAGAGCTCTCGTCCCAGGCTTCACGTCATCGATGCCGTTATGATCTTCCGTGAGAACATCCGTCCTGAGTGGGAGGCTGTTTGCACCCGGGTGTTGGGGCGGCAGAGTATATGGCGCATGTGACCCAAGCGAGTGTGACATAAGAGCAAAGGTTAGCAAGTAATAACGGACAAAATGCCAAGTAAGAACGAAGAAAGCGGAACTGTGATCGAAACAGTGTGATGGAGAACTTCCTTTCGGCTGACAGAAAGCATGTAGTACGTGTCTTCAGCGTTCTTGGCAGGACAAGATGAACGCACAAGGAGGACATTTTCAGTTTCAGCTGAAGCCTGGCATTGGTGGTGGACAGGCGGGCTGCAACAGTTCAGCAGGAAGAGCCATACATGTTTGAATGCCAGGTGGATGAGTATTGGCCACGTCCTTGGTGGCAAGCATTGTTACTGTTCTCTGGCACGCTCACATGTGTCTCCGAAGGGGCTATGGCGCGCTGAGGAACAACTTGGTGCTGGGCATGATCGGCGCAACCATTGAGCCAGCCAACATGATCACTGGGCTCCGATTGGCGTCTTGGCCTCCGAACCGTGAATCATTCGCCCGCCCCGCTAAAAGGCGACTTTCGCGTGTTCCTCGCGCAACAATCTGCTATGTGGGAAGAAGGTGTGGCAGGGAGAGACGCCGGGGCAGCAGTAGATCCTTGAAGAAGCCGGCAAAACGCCATCCCTTACTAGACCTAAGTACAACCATGAGGAGAAAATATCTGATAACAGACATCCCCAGCAAATCCTTAAACATGGTGGGCATCACGGATCATGAGACGAGAAGCGGCCGACAACAACGTAATTCATGGCAACCTTGACAGCAAGCCGCTTGTAAATTCCGCCTAGTAGAGAGACGCGTCATTCCACATCAACGGAAAGGACTACACGAAGACTAGTGGAAGACTGCAAGGCCAGAGGAAGAACTGTTTTACGACCATTGCATGACCCCAAAGCGTCACATGCTGAGGTGGACAAGCTTTCTGGGCCCAGGGCGGCGGGTGTGATCCGCCTGGAGGCGGCGCGAGCAGCTGCCCGCGTGCTTCTGCAAACTTTGTCCATTTGGCTATGGTATCAGAGGTGCAGGACCATGATTTTCCCAAATAGCTTTAGCTATAGGGGTCTTACTTCTAAAGAGGTCGGGTTTGTTGTGCTAAATCGGGCCAGGTGGGTGCTGCAGGTGCTGGTCAGGGTGCTGTTTTGGGGTGCTGTTTGGTGCTCAGGGTGGCTGCTTGCTTATTTGGTCAGGGTGCCGTGCTGGGTGCTGGTCAAGAAGCTGCTCGGTGTGCTCAAGGTTGTTGTTGCTGGCGGTGCTTACCTGGCGACGCGCAAGGTGTGGTGGCAGTGGCAGTTGGTTCGATGGTGGTCTCTTTGGCTGGTCAAGGTGCCTTTAGGTGTGCCTAAAGTTCAGTGGCAGCTGCTGGCGGTGCTTGTTTCGCGACTCAGTCAGGTTGGAGGTGCTGCTGGGCTAGCTGTAGGTCGTAGGTATTTTTAACAACAAACAATAAAACAGTGAAGAACACAGAATAATAATAATAATAATAATAATAATAATAATAATCATAATCACAATCATAATCATAATCATAATCATAATAATAATAATGATAATGCTAATACTAATAATAAATAATAATAATAATACTACTAATAATAATAATAATAATAATTAATAATAATAATAATAATAATAATAATAATAATAGTAATAATAATAATAATCATAATCATAATCATCATCATAATCATAATAATAATAATGATAATGCTAATACTAATAATAAATAATAATAATAATAATAATACTACTAATAATAATAATATAATAATAATAATAATAATAATAAAAGTAATAGTAATAGTAATAGTAATAATAATAATAATAATAGTATCAGGGTTCTGGTCAGGGTGCTGTTTGGTGGTTGCTTGTGATGCTTGTTTGGAGAGACAGTCAGTTGCAGTATAGCTCATATTGGGTCATGGTTGCAATATCATCATGCTTCCTGACTGGCGGAGTGGTTCGCCACAGGCAAATGAGAGAGAGAGAGAGAGTCAAATTGCTAATGATTCTAATGATATTTTGGAGCCTATGCTGGTGCAACTTCTGCAAGAAGCATCTGGCTGGCCACCCCCCTTCAACTCATTCGCAAACAGTGTCCACAACTGCTGAGACATGGGGAGTTGAGAGTCTTCGCCGTGGCTGTCAAGCCAAGGTTTGACATGCCACAGTTCGCGCAGCGCCCTGCCAGGTGTGGTTCACCAACTATGACGACTCGGCAGTAGGGTGCCCAGTGATTCACCGTGTGCGTGGTGTCTTTGAAGGCCACACGGGCAAAGAGGCCTATCCACTCACTTATTTGCCTTTCGGCGAGGGTTCTCTTCCGTCAGGCAATGGAGCTATTAAGCGCATGCAGGATTATTGGCAGATGTCAGCTGCACGAACTGGACCATGGGGATGGTCAGGCAGTGCAGGCTCTCAAGAAGAACGTGGAGAAGTGTATGGCGACACGCCTCGCCTATCCCTCAACGCCCCACAGGGAGAAAAGGAAAGAGATAGAGAAGCAGACAGAAAGAGAGAGAGAGAGAGAGAGAGAAAGAGAGAGCCAGTCCAGAGTGCAGGCCTGGCATGAGATTTTGCTGTTGGCCGAGTCTCCAAAGCTGAATGGTGCCATGTGTTGATTCGTATAACCACCACTGACAAGACAGCGCAACCACCACGTGAGTCTGCAGCCAGCCAGTGCCTGAGATCGAAGATGCTCAGGACGGAAGTGTCGGAACGACTCCAAAGTGCGAGGTGAAATCGCACTCGACGCTTGGCACCAAAAGAAGGTCTGAAGATAATTGTGATATTACACATTTCCTAGTTGGCGCGGGGTATGGCACTGGACATGACGCCCCAAGGGTGGAGCACCGTGTTTTGCTTCATGTTGGCCCTCCGGGCATACGCATCAACTGGAAATTAATTTAGAATCAATCAAATATAATTCAGGATCAAAAACAAATTATATAAATTATTCCAGACCATGTGAAGGAGGAGGCAATTTGCAAGTTCGTATCCGGTGCACCCTGTAGCAAAGGGAGGTTAGTAAGTCAGCAAGTTAGTAGGTGCACCAGTTAGAACAAGTTAGAAGGTTAGTAAGTTAGCCAGTTAGTAGCTGCGCCAGTTAGAGTAAGTTAGAAGGTTAGTAAGTTAGCAAGTTAGCGAGCTAGCACGTTAGCAAAGTTGCCAGTTAGCCAAAAGGGCAGGAAGCGCGGCAGCAGTGCTACTTCTACTTCTGCCACAAGTACAGCGCGAGTACTTACCAGTTCAAGTACCAGGACCAGTACGCCTAGTACTACTACTACTGCTACTAGTCCCACTCCTGCTACTACTACTACTACTGCTACCACTGTACCACCACCACCACCACCACCACTACTACTACTACTACTACTACTACTACTGCTGCCTTTTTTAAGAATCCTGAATTAGTTTGTTTGATCCCTCAGCCGCACTCCCTCAGGTCTGGCAAGCACTGAGCTGGCGAGCTCGGTATTTTGGGTCGTCTGCCACTTGTCATTCGACAAAGTCAGATGCGGCAAGGATGGCTCGGGGTTCAGGGAGTGTCCGAGCGGGGCACCGTCTGGCCAAGACATCCTTGCTGATTTATGGAAGATGCTCCAAGATGGGTGCTGGTGGCGGAATGGGGCTGCGGCTCTGATGCCTGCAATAAAGTCCACGGCCTCTTTGAACCAAACTTGTCGTCGCCAACCATTGTTCTTGGTACCTAGTGGTCGCAAAACATGCCAAGCTGGGGGCTGATCTTGGCATGCAAAGAGATGATCCAAGCTGTTTGCAGGCAGGAACAGCAGGTGCCGCAGCTGCCAAGTGCAACAATGCTGCTACCCTGATGCTACCTGGGAACATTGGCCAAGGAGTTGTTACTTGTCGAAGGGGCCGTTTCAGGTCGAGGATGGGGCACGAAAAACATTGGCCCCTACGTGCAAGGCCCCAAGGGCATGGATCTAGTGGCCAAACGGAGGAGAACTTCGGATGCACTTTTTGGATAGAACGTGTTTGTACCTAGGACCGGGATATTCTGGGGCTCCAGGACTCCACTTGTGCGATTTGGATGTTTCAGACTGATCGAAACCAGCAGGTTTGTTGGTGGCCTTTTGTTGCCTTGTCTGTGGACACCTGAAGTGAAGAGACTGCAAGGAAGTGCTGTAATCCCAAGGGGCAGGAAGCAGCCTGGGAGCGTGCCACTTAGGCATTAGGTGCAGGTGACGATCTTATAGGTCGTCCTTATAACTTCCTGAGCGGCAAATTGCTCAGCAAAGCCATAGGGGCATGAAACGGTGCTTTCAGAGAATGGAGTGATACCAGCGGGATCCCTTGCAGCTGCAATCACTGCAGGATGCCAGAAGCAAGTTTGAACTGAGGGTGATGCAGAGCATTGGTTCTCAAGCGCTCAGCTCTCCAGAAGCGCTGGCGCTGGCAAAAGGGCATTGGGAAACAAGCACGCGTTGCATGGCCCCCAAGGGATTGCGCTAGCAGAAACTGTCAGGCAATCCACTGGTTATCAAACTCTCTACTGCAGGCTGGAGCCAGGCTGCTCAAAGATGTTCATTATACTGCACAGCGTGGGCACAGATTGGAGTGCGCAGAAAGTGAGGGCTGAGATCCAAATCCAATAGATGCAACAAGATGTCTCGACTCTTGACAGTTTGACCTGCCCGCTCACGTCAAGAAATTGGGTAGCTAGGTATTTCCTCAAATTTCCAGGATCTAGTAGCCCTGGCGAGCCTCGGCTTTGTGCACGGCAGGTAAGGCTCCAGCCTCCCTTTTCTTTGCATGGCCTGAGACGGGAGATGCCGGGGCATGTACAAAGACTGGCTCTCCATACCGTTGAGCGGGCGAAAAGCTAGGCTAGCCGGCGTCGCGGGTCGAAGCTTTGTGATATGCTTGCGGGGGCTGTGAGCATCTCCGGAAGTTTCCCTTGTGGATTTTCCGGCATTCAAGCATGGCAAACATGGGAGTTTGAGAACGGGGCAAGTCACCGGATGAAAACAAGACTTTACTCAAAACCAGACCCGACTGGCAATGGTGATTAAGCCGAAAGCTTCCAGCCCAGCTTGGCACAGACATGTACCTTGCCTCTTTTTTCTTTTTTGCTTTTTCAGAAGACCGTTGCTGCAGTTGACGCAGTGACCAAGAATATACACACACACACACACAAGTTAGGAACTCCTGAAAATGGCTTCGCGGGGGACTTCATTTGAACACGCGGCATCCAGAGCAGCAACATTGCTGCATGGCAGCCAGCTCCTGGCTCCCAGTTTCCGCTAGTGAATCCTTGCCCGGTGCGGGCTTGGCCTGAGGCTTAGACAGGAAGCCACATCTGCGCCATGGACGGCTTGGGCAACACGGGTCATGAATCACATGCGATACTCACTCAAGCTTGGGGCAAGTGACTCGTGTCTCTGTGTTGAGGCCCGCACATCGGGTTTCAACATGCCTGGGCCCCGTATGGAGTGAAGCGGCCTGTAGTTGCAGACGCCGCAACGCGAACCAGCCCGTTTTGCCAATCCCTTGCCCCGCATGCGGTTGCCTTGCCGCTGGAGTTTCCACACTTAGCTGCCTTCTGGAATTCCAGTTAGCTAGCTGCCTGCAACTAAGCGGAGGGGCTTCAGGCGCGTTTGTCAAAGTAGCTCTTGTGCAGGATCTTAAAGCATCTCCACTCTGGATGGTCACGTTATGTCAAGCTGTGTCAAGCTACATGTTTTGGCTGCGGGTGGCTGGCTGAGGTACGGAGAGCGAGGAATGGATGCGGCTGAGATCACCCCACTTCTCAAGGCGGGCTGTTGGAGCATTGCTAGCTGTTCTGGCAACCTGTAGGCTTCCAAGCGGTTCTAAGCCTCATGTGGTAGCCTCATGAGTTGTGCAAGCCCTGGTAGCCTCGCCGTATGAAGCCGAGAAGGCATATCAGGTCGAAGCGTTTGCGCCGTCCCGACTGTGATGACAGAAGCCGCCGGCGCTCTTCTCCCCGGGCCATCGAATGCTGGCGCCTCACGATAGTGATTGTTTACTTTACTGTGGCACATCGGTCACTATAGCCATCCTGTCCTACAGACATGGGTTGTTTTGAGTTTCTATTGCAACGGGCAAAGTGCCTTGCGCTTCCGCAGACGAGACTTTCCATGGCACGAGAGAGAGAGAGAGAGAGAGGGGAGAGAGCGAGAGCTCAAGTCGAGCTGTACTTGACTTATGCATCGTCAACAATTGAATACACTAGCCATCGTCCGAAAATCATTGTTGAATTGGGGCTGGTTGGCCGCTACAACTTGCACTGGGCGCAGGCTTCCCGAACATCCCAGGCGCATGAATATCATGCCCATCTTCCTCAACATCTTCATCCCTTGGGCAGCTGCTCGGCAGAGGAAATAAGAAGGCCCAGGGCCTTCTTCTGAGGTTGCGCCTTCGGACGCAAGCCCTGCAAGACACGGAGGCTTGCATGTCCTTTTTAATCCTCTTGCTGGTTTTGCACGCTATGACACCCCTCCAGTCATACAAGTGGTAGGACTCACGCAATGGCGTGTTTCACACACACATTCGGCGTCATTCCTTTCTCGGTGCTGCGCAAACCAGCCAAGATCTTTGTATATTGCTTCAGCCTGGCCTCCTTCTATTTGATGTACTCGCCTCGCACTCAGTGAGCCGAATTTGGCGCGAGATCAGGACACGGTCGCTTGCTCGCTCAGGAAGCCCGTGGTTGCTTGGGTCTGCCCGGTGGCCTGGACGACTCGGTGTAATTGAAGACGACACCCCGACACAGATTGGACAATGATGGTTTGAGCAGCGAGCAGAAACACATTTGTGGGAGGTCCACAATGATGGTGTTGGCTTCATGAATTCCAACTGCCAACCAAGGCATTTCAGCTGTTTTTGCAGTGTGGCTCCTGTTTGTGCTGGTCGCGTTCTGCGCACGCAAGTACAACCCCGCCTGCGGCTCGGGGCATCTGCGTTCAGCCTTGCAACTTGTGCCGCGTGGCTGCTTGGGCTGGCTCAGGATCCAACCTGGTTCACCTTCTTTACCATTCTAGCTTGGCCCTGAGAGGGTGAATCAAGCGTTTCGCACAGCTCTTGGATTCGCGCCTCCAGGCAGTGTTCGCACCTCTTGCAGCGAATGCTGTTTGTTGAGGCAGCAATTTGCGCAGCGTGGGGCATCATTGCAGGGCAGGGTGCCTAATTGTGTTGCACATGTAGCTGATTAGCTTCAGGCCAAAACATGCGCAGAGCTCCCGATCTTTGCTGAGGGCTGTTGAGTGCAGTGTGGCACTGCAGGGTGGCATCTAGTGTGAACGTGGCAGCCTGAGGCTGTCCAATCTGGAGAACTATGAGAAGCCGTACTACACGCTGAAAGAGATGCGGGTGCGCTATGTGTCGCGCACTGGAATGCGGGGGGGGGGGGGTTTGACGTGGCGGGTGCCACTCAGTGATAATTTTGGCTGAGTGGGAGGGAAGTTTCGAGCATTTGGTATTGGACAGACTGTGGTCTTCAAGCACAGTAGGCCCGCCCGCCAGGACACAGCGGGGGAAAACAGCACGGGCGTGAATCCCACCACCGTGTCCGGAGAAGATGTCACCAGGATGCACTTTGGGGCCCCATTCTAGAACTTCCATTTTGACGCAACCCAAGGGAGGAATGATGTCGAGGGCTGAACATCCAGCCAGAACGGGGTGTGAGATTTCAGGCCACGATTTCTCAGACCTTGAAAGTTGAATGAGATGAGTGCCTTGGTTGGACCATTGATGGACTATTGATGGACCATTGTACTATTGGAGCAGCTTGCCCTCCTTGGATTTCTTCCTTTCGTGGGATGGCAAGCTTTTGATTGGCTGAGGTCATGGACGCAGGCATCATCACCTTTGCTGCCGGCAGCGTTTTTGATGCCTCCAAAACTTGGCACTTCATGAGCCTCGGCATGTGATGGTGGTGTGCAGTGTGTCCTGTTGCGAAACTGTTAGGTGCCAGGCCAACCAGATGGGCACTGGGAAGCGTGTGATTGGATTTGAAAATTCACCCCAAGCCGCCCCACGCCTTAGGAAAGGCACTCTCTACTGTGCCAGTGGCCCAGTGCATCCGGCGCTTCATCATGCTGTAAGTTCTCATAAAGCCAGCACACCGCATCACATGCTTGCTTCTGTTGCACGTTCAGTCAACAAATAGATATGCATTGTACCCACCTTCTGAACGGCTTTGGTGCCAAACCGGTCAACAGTCGTTGGCAATTGCTGCTGATTTTCAATTTATATATGCTAGCAACACCAGAGATATCTGCAGCGGAGCTTGCATGTGATGGACGGCCGTCAACGTCAAAATCACGAGTGCCATCTTTTTAAAACGCTGCCGTTTTCGAGTCTGGCTGAAAAGTGGAAGCTCCCATTAGGCTTTGGTTTTGGCACGCTCCAGCGCGTTTGCAGGTCGCGCCCATCGTGGGCCCAAATGCGGCCGTGCCGCTGCGGCAAACCTACGACTTCTGGGCAGTTGGCGCTGGGCTCAGAGTGGCCTGCTGCGAGGCGCCTGGCTTACAAGCGCAGCTTGTTTGTTGGCAATATTTCGAGTTTCCACAACAGGGGTGTCCTGACATTTGTAGCACTTCCAGATGTCAGGGCTTAGCAGGGATTGCAAGAAAGCCAGCCGACTGGCACCTGGCTTTTCCCACATGCGCGGATCCAACGGGGCAAGCCCTGTCACGGCAATGCAGCTAAATATTATACAGAGACTGCGCAGGATATGGCACACAGCCAGGAGGTTGCTCAGGCAAGCAAAGCATCGTACTCCGATGTGCTCCGCACAAGAAGGTCAATAATGTCAAATAAGTGATTTGATGAGACTGATGTCAAGACAACGCGATTCGACGTGACATTAAATACACATACCAGTCCCATTGTTAGTTGGCAGGGCATTTGTCAATCAGTACAAATGAGACGCCATTGTTGTTCTTTAAAGTGCGGGCCAACAAGTCGGTCTCAACGGAGCTTTCGGCGACCTGGACACCCGGAAGGGGCTCTGGCGTATTTCACTTGGGTGTGCAGGCGCGCCCAAGTCTGCCACGAGCCCCCTGGATTAGAAGGGGGAGGCGCGGAGCCCGGCCTTTGAGGCAAGGACTGCTGCAGCATCAGCGCCTCGGATTTCCGCTGCGGATCCTGGGGCTCCACCACGGCGCGGCGGTTTGGGGGGGGGGGGGGGAAGTAGTACCATCCTGGAGCACAGCTTTCAGGAAAATTGCTGCCAGTGCAAGCTCCACATTTCTGCAACAGGCTGTTGAAGCGCTTCATTCTGATTTAGGTGGTTTGCGCACCACATCAACCTTCGAGGGCTGCGGCTTGCAACTCTTGATTGCTTGGCCTGCAGCCTTCTTTGCAAGAAGCGCAGAGAATCACATTATGCTAACATCTTGAAAAGCCTTGCTCTGGTATTCCGGACACACCCACTTGCGTGTTTAAAGAGCATATCATTTGTATTTGACCGCCCTGATGTTGTCCACTTTCCTTCCGTGCCCCCGATCGACGTGCGATGGGCTTGGCTCGTGCCCTGCCCGCATCTCATGGGCCACTTCTGGGTCTACCGAGAGGTGGAGAGGTGGCAGGCCTTCGGCCGGGTGGACCAGCTGCGCCTGGAGGAGGCGCACCGGGCCTTCGATGGCTGCGAGCCCGAGACTGAGATGGAGACGGAGTTCACTGAGACGGGTGAGGAGGCACATCTGAGACAAAAAGAAAGAGAGAGAGAGAAAGAGAGAGAGAGAGAGAGAGAGCGGGGGAGAGAGAGAGAGAGAATGAGCTTCATGCCACGTGTGGCTTCCAGGTCCGTGTGGTAGTTTTCTTCGGCCGCGGGGAGGTGCATCTCCGATCCTGGAGGGGTCTGCTGCGGGCGCGCTATGGAGGGGGCCTCCTTGAGCGCTCCGGGCCATTCCAGGCATGGGGCGCAAACTAGTGCCTGTTTTTTTTCAAGTCGCTTTCAAGAAAATGAAGCGGCATGGCTTCCAAGCATTTGCAAGTTAAGCCCATGTTTGTTTGTCGCGTTTCGGGCTACTATATTTTGCATGATGTCGAGAGGCTTTGTCATATTCCAAACTTTCCACCGAGGCACGGCGGAGTGCGTGGTTCCGAGTGTGCAGGGGGCTGGAGCCCTACGGTCCAGCAAGCAACGCCCGGCGCCAGGGCTTGAAGAGGAATGGCAGATGGGAAGTCTTCTCCGGCACTGTTGATGCAAGGATGAGATGTCCTTTGTGGTGATCAGCCAGAGGGCATGCATCATCAAGCCGTGTTTTTGATTTCCTGGGCGCTGCATTTTGGTCGTGTGGGCGGTTCGGCGCTTGTCCTTTTTGTTGTGTGCATCGGCTCCTAGCCAATCCTTTGACTGCAGTCGAATCAGTTTGCAAGGAGTAGCTAGTTGCACATTGACATGACTTAACCTTTGGGGCTGTGACTATGAAAGTGGTGCGTCACGCAAAGGCTTGCAGAGGCGGCGGCCCGGCTGCAGCCAGGGGCGCAGGAGGAGGTGGTGCTGGGGATGCGAAGGGTGCGGATGTACATGAACTGGGGCAAGATCCAGGCAGAGGAGGATTCGGCCGCTGGGAGCAGAAAGCGAGCGGGTTCACAACGCATGCTTGGGTGATCATTCCCCCATTCTTCTTGTGATTCTTGCCATTGGTTGCAATTGTTTTGGTAAGACAGGCTTTTGAAACTGCTTGTGTTTGTGTGCCTGTTTGTCTGTCTGTTCTGCCTGCCCTGCCTGCCCTGCCTGCCTGCCTGCCTGCCTGCCTGCCTGCCTGCCTGCCCTCCCTGCCTGCCTGCCCTCCCTGCCTGCCTGCCTGCCTGCCTGCCTGCCTGCCTGCCTGCCTGCCTGCCGCCTGCCTATCTATCTCTCTGTCTCTCTGTCTCTCTCCGTCTTTCTCTTTCTCTTTGTCTTTCTCTGTTTTCTCACATTCTTTCTTTCATTCTTTGCGCATTTTCTTATTTTTGTTTTGTTTGTTTGTTGGTCTGCGTGCATGTGCGTGTGTGCACGTGGGCCCTCCCAGCGTCGCTGCTGTCTGTGTCTTGTCACTTTCTCGATTCGCCCCTGGCCTGCAATAGCAGCTGGGGGAACCGTGCATGCGGGGTCGGCCGGCCCTCTCCGGGGGTTCTTCGCCAGGAGGGCGTGAGGGTCTGGAGTGAGGACGTCCTTTGAGACCCTTTTGATTGTGCCTCTTCGCGTTTCCTGCTGTTGTCGGTCATTGAAACCGCGCTGCCCTTCAACCGTTCAGCTTGCCCATCTTGCCAAGGGAAACATGTCTGTGTGTGTGTGCATTCCTGCGCTCGTTCCTGCGCCTGTTTTTCACAGGGTGCCCAGTTCTCAGGGTTTTACACATGCATCGCGCAAGGCGCAGCGTGCTTTGAACTTGTGCTTCGACCGAGGAGCAGGGCATGTCCTCCTGGCTGGGATTCTCGCGGGTTGCCGTGCAGCAGGGTGTTGGGAATCTCCCAGCAGAGGAGGAGGAAGAGCTGCAGCAGGAGGTGGGGCAGATTGTGGTGGTGGTCCACGGCATTGGTGAGATGTTGAACCAGAGGCGCCGCCTACCCAAATTGGAGCAGCATTTGTTTCGGAAATGGTTGACCTGCAACAGTTGTTGGTCCAGCGGCTGGATCTCGTCTGCGTGCGTTCGAAGAGCATTGTTTACGTTCCTTGTCAACGTTCAGCTTGTCGTTGCAAGTGCCACTTTGCAACTTTCTCCGAAGCTTCGTCTGCCAGACAGAGGAACGTGTACTATTAAGTTTTGACGGAGGCGTGTGGCGTGATGTTAGTGGTTGACAACCCTCCGCCTCAAGGTCGGCAGGGTCCAACAGATTCTGGGTTCCCCAGCAGCCCCCTTATTCATCCAGCCCTCCCCCTCTGGCCGATGGGACAGCAACAGGAAGCTACAAAACGGCGGTGTCTTTTTCTCCGGACTGGAGAGTGCCAGGATTGGTAAGTTTGGCATTCTTGGGGCTGCAGTTGAACGGCGGACCAGGCAGTTGCAGTTTCCGGCTTGCTGTTTTTGTTGCCGGTTTTGGGATGGGGGACCTGCGCTGGCAGAAGTATTGGCAATAGCTTTTGACATTTAAGTTGGGGCTTTTTCATTTTGCTCGCTTTTTGGGCGACAAGAGGACGGTCTACTACTGGGGGGAAGGGGGGTTGGTGGGTGCCAAACATGGTCAAGGGGTGTTAAGTAGTTTTGGCTGGCAATTCGGGGGAAAAGGACACTCTGTAGCTGCACGGGGATTTTTGTGATCAGTCGTGAGTCATGCTTCGCCCTTTTTTTACGGGGGCGGGGGGCGGATATCGCCTGACATGTGGCCAGGTGGGGTGCAGGCATGGTGCAGGACCTCGGGGTGCTGCGGCGCACGTTGCAGCAGCAGCAGCTGCAGGTGGCCAGGGAGGCGCCAAAGACGGAGGTGCTGGGCTGCGAGTGGTGGCAGAGTATCCACTCAGAGGAGAGGCGGTATGGAAGCGTGGGGGGGAGATTCAGCCTGGAATTGGATTGCGGCATATTGTTGTCTTGTTGCCTGTGGCCTATGCTTCGTAAGCTTGTGGCAGGGCTCTGTCTTCTCAACCTTCCGCAGGGCTCGATCACAGCTCCTGCAAAAGAGGCGCTGCACTTAGTAGCGATCCTTCTGTGCTCACCACTTGGCTCACAACTTGGCTTCTTCGCAGGAAGGTTTCACACCAACAAAGGGATTTTCAGCTTGCTCAATGATTCTCCTGATTTGAAGGTGTTGTCCCAGCCGCCCGGGACATCCGCTTACTCTCCGCGCTTGGCTGTTCAAACATGACAAGCGATGCCAGGTGCTCACGTCCCCCCCTTTTCAAACCTTCCCTGTGACGGATCCTTTCAACAATGGTTCTGTGGGGCTGGTGTCCCCCGTGCAAGTTCATTTGGCAGGGTTGCGACTCGGCCTTTCATCCCTGGGCAAGGAGATGGACAAGCGCCTGGCCAGCATTACTCTGCCTTCCCTGGCTGCTGTCAGAGATTTTGCGAACCTCTCACTGGTGGACGGCCTGGCCTTCACACAGGACCGCCAAGTGTGGCGCACGTGAGAACGTCTTCTCCGTCTCAAGTTGTTTTTTGTTTAATTGTGGCGAGTGCAGTGTGCAGCGTGTCTTGGCAAGCAGTTTTTTGCACTTGCTGCCAGTTTTCGAAGCCACAAGCAGGAGCGGGAGAGAATTATCACCACTACGGCAGCAAATCTGGAGACCGCAGTCAGCAGGTTCAAGGACTGCCACCCGAACTTCCGGGGCCAGATCTTCCTCTTGGGCCACTCGCTCGGAGGCGCGCTATTGCAACCCTTGATGCTGCCAGTGAGTCTCTGTGAAACGTGCCAGGAGGCGACATTGGGAATTTTCTTTGGGCGCCTAACATCCCGCGACGTCTGAGGCGTCATCCTGTGGGACATCCTCACGCAACAGCGGCTTGCCTTCACTCCCAACGCCCTCTTCACCGTGGGCTCGCCCATTGGCGTCTTCCTGCATGCTGCAGGCAGCATCAATGGCCCACGGCTGCTTGAGAAGTTGGGCAAGGCAATGGGAGATTGTTTCCGCTTGCGCATCTCGTGCGGCCATTTCACTCCAGCCTGCAATTAGAAGTGATCAATGCAAGGAGATGAAGGCTGGCGTGCATCTTCAGACAGGTATCTAAGCAAATTGGTACGCGAACAGCTCTACAACCCTGGTCAAGTGCCGATTGTTTAAACAAAATCAGCACTCATCGTAGCTAGATCTCAGCCAAGAGCGCGGGCATTCTGCTCAAACATGCGCCAAGTTACCTGTGAACTGTGATGATGAAGACTTTGCTTCGGCTTGGGGACAGGCAGCAGCAACCCTGGCATTCGGCAGTTCGAGTGCCTGTGCTAGATGTTGCACGTTGCGCCAACACGCAAAAGGCGGCCACAAGCGTTCAACGCCACCATCCCAGTTGCCTTGTCGAATTCCTTTCTATCCCAAACCACGCCCCCCCCCAACCCCTCCACACACCCTCTTTCTTTGCCTTGATTTGGCGTTTGACCTGGCAAGTGCCCATCATTTGTACTGGCGTTGTGATGGCCAAGTCAGCCCATCAAACCAACCGCAGATGGAGACTTGGTAAGCCTGCCCCAACATGTTTTCAACAGTTTCCCCCTCAGAGAACCCAGGCACATTTGTTGAGGAGTCGTTTGTGTGTGTGTGTGTTTCATACTGGATGTTCATGAGACTTAAGAGGTGCCCTTCTTCAACATCTTCCATCCCTTGGACCCGGTGGCCTACCGTGTGGAGCCTCTGCTGGCACCCCACCTGGCACAGCTGCCACCTGCCTCGATGGATGTGGACATGACGGGGCGCCTGGCCGCTTTGGCTACTTCGAAAGTGTTTGAACCCCTGGAAAGCTGCCAGACTCATTTGGGGAGCGGGGGGGGGGGGGCCGTAAAGAGTGGGTTCCACTTTCGGGGTGCTAGGAGGAGTTGCAGAGTACAAACTCCAAAACATCCAGCTTGAACAAGGCCGTTTGCCAGAACTGGCGGAAACCTTGGGCGCAGTGCACTATCCATCCCTATCCGGCGGACAGCTTCACAAGGCTCTTTTTCTTCCATTGTTTGGCTCCAAGGGGTCAGTCTGTGACATGCCCGGTGCGACAAAAAACACACTTCCCTAAACAGTTTGGGTTTAGGGCTTTGGGCAATACCAAACCAGCAAGCCAGTTAACCAACCAACGCAACTCAATGCCAAATTCAACATTGGTTACAGTAAGGCTGTTTTCTACCTGAAAGCCATTGCAAGTGCAAATCAAGCTCAAACAGAACAGTCAAGTTGACATTTAGAGAATCAAACGATTTCCACATTTAACCTCAGGATGAATGTTCCAACTTGGAGTCGAATTCGCACGCAACGCGAGGTCAAATGCGATTGCAGTTTGAACACAAACTCCATGCAGGTCCATTTTGTTTTGAGTAAGATCTAGTCGAGCCGAAGTGTTGAATTCAACTTTAGATTTGAATTCCTGCATTGAAATCTAGTCGTATTTCAGACCCATTATTTTAGTTCAAATCAAGTCTGAGTCTCATTTGGTTGGATTTCAATTCAAATGTCAAAGAACGTCCACTACTTGAATTCCGATTCAATTCGTGCCCTGGTTGACGCATGGTTGTACTTCTTCGCTTCCTAGCTGGCTTCCAGAAACTAAGCCTGCACGAGAAATGCCCCCCAGAAGCATCACAAAATGCTGGTTTACCATTCAGCCTCGCTAAATGGCCCAATTCAGACGTATATTTCGGGGGTGGATAGCACAACTGTAAGAAATAGTTCCCGATTCTGTTGGAACAATTCATTGAATATCCGGCGAATTGTGCCATCTATAATACGCTTCCAAAAACGGGGGGGGGGGGGGGGCGGGTAAAAACAAATGTGCCATCTATTAAGCAGAGGACCCTTTGGCTGCTTCTCATGCTGCGCTGCTGTCACGAGTGACTGATAGTGACTGAGCGAGTGGAGTGGAGTGGAGTGGAGTGGAGTGGAGTGGAGTGGAGTGGAGTGGAGTGGAGTGGAGTGGAGTGGATCGGAGTGGCGTGGCGAGGGGATTGCGGGGCCTTTTTCTGCCCAATTCGGTCGTTTACATGGGTCTCCCGTTTCCGGCCAGTCGTTCAACACGACCCAGTTCTGAGTAAGAGCTTTAAACTGCAAACATCACGGATATTAAGTCAAGAACGGAGTGTGGAGCCTCTCAAGCCACGAAGAATGCCCCCTTCTGATGTCATAGGGCTAATTACTCAGCCTTGCGCTTCGTTGTCCACGTGGTTCTCGGGGGGGGACATTTTGGCTCAAGTGGCTTTCGCGGATCTCGGGGTGACCCTTTCTCCCGCGGGTTCTTTTCCACTGTGTATCTCTGATAGGATGGAGTCTCCCACAACGCTGGCATGGGCGCTCGGTTAGATGCCAAGATGCGCAAGGCCCTTGACGCCGCTGCCTATCGGGGAGGTTGAGCGCCGATGGTCTTGCGGGGGGCCCAGTGAGGCTCGGCCAGCCGAAGACGTGGCCTCTGAGAAGGGCAGCCTTTCTCCGACACGGACAAGTTCTGACGCTCTAGCGTGGTGTCCTGGATCCAACAGAAGGACAAGGACAAGGCGGTGCCGAGTCTTGGACAAGCTGGACTTGTTCGTGCAGAACGACCGGCAGTGGTCCGATGGTATGGGCTTGATGAGGGCCCGCTTAACAGCCTGGTTCTCCGTGCAATGGCCAGGCGCTGGTGCGCCAGTGCTCATCCGCTCTTCCGACGTCGGCCAAGCAAAGGCCTTGTAGGGCGGTGCCATGCTGCGTGGGGCTGGGAACCATGGTGCGGCTGGTGTTAGGCGTGCAAATGTCAGCTTGGGGTTGGGGCATGGGTGCATTGTGAAACTTGCTTGGACTTGCTCCCCAAACGTCAAGCAGCATCACGTTCTAACAATGGAAACTTCACCGGAACAACGGCACATGGTCTTCGCTACGAATACTCAGTTGCTGGGGCAGATTTTATGCCTGATAGAGATGACATTTGCTTTATGTTTGTGTTCCGCGCCACGGTGACTATGTAACTTGTTGATTTCCGCGCTTCCGCGCCCCTTATCAGTTGTTGATGCTGTGCAGATGGAAGAAATGCAGCAGATCCACATGGCTGGAAAAATGTGTCGAGTGAGGACTGGCAGCTGCCTTGCAGCCAGCTAGGTTCTGCCACTGAGCTGCTGCAGGTTGGATACATATGGAGCTCTCAGCAGTTGTGACTTACCCTTGGCGACAAGCATGCGCGGGTTGCATTGTTAGCTGTTGTTGTCCTAGCCACGCATGCCAACACGGTACGTCATCGGTTTCGTTTGAGATGAGCTTCTGCTTGCCACATGGAGCCAGGTAACAACATGACACAAAGTCGTGTCTGAGATTAAGGAATCAATTAAATCCTGGGGGGAGCAGGATTCCAAGACAACGTGCTTTTTCCAAAACTTCAAACCGCGAAATGCTGTTTTGCTTGCGTGGGGCGTGTGTGTGTGTGTGATGCGCTGTCACACACATGACTTCTGCCTACCAAGCGTGAAGCCTGTTCTCAGGACCTCAAGGCGTGACTTTGTCAGATCCGGCACAAGGTCACTGATAGACAGAACTTCGCATGTAAGTCTAGCTGAGCGCCGTGGCTTCGTGCCGATGCAACCGCATGCTGTGCTGGATCTGGCGTTGTTTTGTTCTTTTCATTGCCTCCCAAATGCACCTATGCAAAAAAAAATAGGTGGGATGGCAGGCAAGCAGGTTGAGGGTGAAGCCTTGCAGGCCGTGCCCAGCCACATCAGCTACTACAAGAATCTCAGCTGCATCTTGTATAGTGGCACATGAGGTCAACAGGAGTCGCAGGAATGTCATCTTTGACAGCTGATTTCTAGGCACTTGCGTCTCCTGCCAGGGAGCACCCAAGGAACCCAGCGGTTGGTGCCTTTGTGATGCGCCAGCTGCGGCGGTCGCCCCGGGCGCTGTCGCAGGCGCAGCAAAGTTCCAGATGTAGGCAGCTTCTTTGTCGGGATTGGGTTTCGAGTGGAAAGATATGAAAGGATACAGAAGGATGATGTCGGGGATCTTGAGCTTAGGCAGCCATTGTGATCGCCAGGGCTGGCTCCCACTTGTTTCCAATGCCGGGATGCTGCAATCTGAATCAAGTGCCGACCTGGCAGCCGGCATTCCGCAAACTCGACTTGCCATTTTTGTTTTCCACCTGTTGGCGCAGTGCCAGGTTGCCTCTGCGGCCAGGCGCCTGAGCCACGGCAGCAGCGCGCGCCGTGCCATGTCGCGGCCCAGCCGGCAGGAGCAAAAGGTATGGTGCTGCTTCGTGCGCTGTACTTGCCAAGGACAAGTCATCAAATCATTGATGCATATGAATGCATGTTAGTGTACATGTATCCATGCATGCATGCATAGTTTCACAGGCAGTTGCACATAGCATGCAGTATTCGCATGTATCTTCCGCTGACACACGGACACACACACACACACACCGATTAGACATATTCGATGTTCATTCATTTGATTCAATATGAGTTGTTGTCCGTTCGTGTATCTATCATGGTTGTCTATCCAACTGAGGCTGGTTCGTGCTGCTCATCATATAGACGTACAGAGATGCGTTGTGAATGCATACGTACGCCTTGCGTTCACACATCTGCTAATATATATCTCTATATATATATATATCTATATATATATATCTATATATATATATATATATATAAGTATATATATATAAGTATATACATAAGTATAGCTATATATATGCATATACATATACATGTCATCAATCAGATCGAAGGGATCGGCATTTAGACTGGCTTGCAGGCCTTTTTGCATGTTTGCTTTGGCTGTGGCCGATGGTTTGCTGATATCACTTTGAAAGGAGGTACTGCCCCGGCAGGGACAGATTTCTCGATGCCAGGCGCACAGCGGGCTGCGAGTGTTGAACGAAGGTGACCTAATGCTGCTTGGCTCATTCATGCCGAGCGACGGTCGCCTCGCTGTGTGGTAAGATCCAAGCTTTTCAATTGCTCACATGAAAATATTGGAGTAGTGGTAGAGCATTCGTTTTGTTCAAGGGCCGTGTTTGAGCCTGAAGGGGGCTAGCAACTGCGCCTTGTGCCGTGCTCAGTCCAAAGCAGGAATAGCATTATACAACAGCATATTCTGAGGTGCTGTTGGCGAATTTGTGATTCTTGTCAGGATGACCCGGGGATGTCGCTTTCTGGCTTGAGTGGCGCTCGCCCAGGTACTACCGCTTGGGAATTCAGCAGGCGGGTTGGTGGCAAGGGCAGCCATAAATGCGCGATAGAAGAAGAAGAAGAATAAGAAGAAGAAGAAGAAGAAGAAGAAGAAGAAGAAGAAGAAGAGACTCAGAGTCGTCAGGTGGATGGATGCAACATAAGGCCACCATGTGATGTTATTTGCGTGTGTAAAGCATGGGCACCCACGACGGTGCATGAAGGCATTCACGACAGTGTGTAGGTCTCATGTTGGCCCTGATTCCGCTGATGGCCAGCGTCGCTTCGCCTGAAATGTGCCCTCAGCAGGCAGAAGAGCTCTATGGCATCATGGCGCCGCGCACCCAGACATGCAGTGAAGAGCTTGGCAGCGCCGCACTATTGCGCATGGTCGCCTGTGGCTGGTTGTGTCTCTCCAGACGTGAAAGAATGGCCAAAGCCAGACGCCGTTGCAAATCCCAACTCCAAAAGCAAGATCAACCCCCAAAACCAACCGTCACCCACCTAGAGTAGCTTTATGATTTGGCACACTTGTGGGGCCATTCACGGGGCGAATGTGTCATGAGGAGGCTTGAATGGAGCTTTGAATTGCTTTGCCCGGGCACTGGCGCCACGTCGAAGTCTATGGCACAGCTGCGCTGTGTGGGCCACCGTGTGCCAGCCATGCCTCGAGCTGCTGCCCTGTTTGCAGCGCCAGCGCCAGCTGCGCGAGCGCAGGTGCTCCGGGCGCAGGTGCTCCGGGCGACGCATGTGAGATATGGCAGGCGCAAGCTCAAGGAGCTTGAGGAGCTTACGGAGCACTGGGAAGTGAAGTGTCACAGTTGCACATCCAGACAGCAGCCAAGCAGAATACAAGTGGGCCCATCAGGCAGCAACAATTGGAAGGCATGGCAACGACTGATTATGCCAATATAAGGGATGCGTGGAACAGGGTTCACAGCTGACAGATGCTAGTACTACTTGGCACGTTGCAAGGTGCTTGCAGCTGGTCGACATCCTGTCCTGGCTGCTGCTGCTGGTGCCAAGATTGTTTTGAGCAAGAGTGAATTTCACAGCTGCCACGCTCATGCTGTCCAAGTGTATTGTTCTGATTGCTTACTGAGATAGCCACTTTGCAGCCATGCAGGGTAGATGCACATGAGCTTCTGTCTATCAAAGCTGTTGTTCTACGGTTGGGCCGTCAGTGCAGGGAAGCAGTATGGGATATTGCTCATGATTTCAAGGTCAGCATTGTCCCAAGGCGCTGGCGCCATTGGCCTGGCTAGGTCCCATGCCTCCAGGAGCGATACTGCAGGCGCATCGCCATAGACGCCATAGTCCGCATGGCAAGGACACTAGGCATGCATTCGTTGCCAGAGGGGTGCCCTTGGCGAGTGTGTTGTACCAAGTGTGTGCGTTCCAAGGCAGAAGGCTTCCGACATCATCCGACATTTCATATCACGACTTTTTGCAGCTGGGTCGCGTGCCAGTAGCTCCCAAAAAAATGGCGCACTGTGGGCCAGTCTGGAAGGGCTTCGGATTTGGCTGCGTGCCAGGGTCTGGCGAGGCAGACCTTTCCCAGCTGCCATTTCTCTATGGCACTGCGTGGAAGGAAGCCTGGCCAGCAAAACCAGATCAGCATCTTGTGTTTGTGCCTGGTTAGGATTCCACCATGCGTGGCAGCAGGTGTGTTGCCCACATGCAGTATGTGATGCGTCGGAAGGCGCAGGCATGGCGACAGATTTGTGCAATGGTTGGGGAGATTTGTCCAGGCTTTGGAACATGGTCCCCAAATCTGCATCTTTGCCGAGGAAGGGGCTACCGCGGAGCTGGTGGTGAAAGCAGTGAGGCGAGCTTGACAGCCATGCGATTGTTTGCTCGAAGCAAACACCTAAAACCGTCGCGCCCAGCACAGCCATACCTCCGTTGATCCATGGCCCGAATCTTTGGCCTGCTGCTCTTGAGCCAATGCTCCCGCGGGAAGACTGGAACCAACAACATTGGGTCCAACTTAGTAACTACTCATCCACCAAGCCCTTAACATCAGAAAATTCAGACTCGGAGGCAGTTCAGCGACCCGGCGCCAGAACACGGAGCGCAGACCCGTCAAATGTGTGAACAGATTTGATCATTGAATCGGCACGCCACCGGCCAGGGCAGGCTTTCGCGGCATTGACACAGCCTGCCAGCCGAAGCATTACCAGGAAGACTTGGTGGGTGCTGCCCTGGCACAACTTCAGACAGAAACGTAGCTCACGATTTGGCCTGACTATCCGACTATCATGACTGTTTCTTTCAAGTTGGAAGGCGTCCATGCCTTTGTGGCGAGGTTGGACGCTTCCCAAGATAGGGCTAGATTAGAACAGCCAAGCCGAGGAGGATGGTATTGCGCGAGAGCAGCTGTGGCTCCAGACAAAGTTCACGCCCATTCGTGGACAGGATCCCGGGCGCGTACCTTATGATCCCAAGGTGCACGGGCCTGGGCATTTGCAGGCAGCAAGTCAATAGCCAGATCTCTCGCGCAGTGAGCCCAGAATGATATGCATCTTGTTAATTTTGTTGTCGTTAAAGGAGTTCTTTTGGGACAGGATGTCTTTTAACTCCAGCCACTGTAGGCGCTGCGTTGTCATGGGCTTTGGGCGCGGCTCTGAGAACTGAGAAGTGTCCGTTTGTCAAAACAGTCCGGGAGGCAAGCCTGGCCGAGCAAGTGGAGCAGTCCATCCAGCGGTCACTGCAGAATCTGGGCACCTCCTACATCGATTCTTTGATAATGCACTCGCCTATGCCAAGCTTAGAGGAGAACTTGGAGGCGCAGAGTTGTGAGCGCTTGAGGAAATGCGTTGAGTTCTGCCGCTGTTCCCAGTTGGTGCAGGTTTGGTCCGTGTTCGAGAAGGCGGATGCCTCACGTGCCCAAAATTGAAAGAGCAGCGTCCCTGCGCAAGGTGTGCACCTGCAGTGCGAGACAGCTGGAACAATCATTCCGGCCCAGCCCGTCTCAGGCAGTTGAGTCCGGCGAAGTTCGGCAGCTGGGCATCAGCAACTGCTACGACCTTGGCGTGTTTCGTTTGATCTATGATGCTGTCAAGAGCCTTGGGCGCGATCCAAGCTTTTGTTCTGTGCGCAGCAAGACCAGAGCTGGCATCCCCCGCCCGTTACTGAGCCCCAGCCTTTGCAAATCGCGAGGATCAAGCCAAAGGTGCTGCAAAACCGCTTCTATGCCGATGCGGGCTACGACAGGGAACTGCGACAATTTTGCCTGGAAAAGGGCATCAGATACCAGACCTTCTGGACATTGACTGCCAACCCCCATGTCTTGGTTGCTCGGCCGCAATTGCTAGTGGGCATCCACAGCACGCGATGATCCAACATACTGAGCATGAACAATGATACATTTTTAAACAAATGTCGATGAAGACTTATCGTACCGTATTTCTGGATTCGGCTGAAGGTGCCAGGTAGCCATTGTTGCAACCGGATTGCCGTGCAGTTAGAAACAGTCAAGCAAGCTGTCACTGTAACTAGCCTTGCGCAATCTCGTTCAGAGAGCCTCTTCTTGTTGGCGGTCACCTGCCATTGGGGATAAACACACAAATTCCGCTTCTTGTTGAGGGTGGGAATCAGCTACGATTGCAGCACATGTTTGCCGAATTTGCATGTAATTAGGCAGATTCTGCAGGAGCTTGTAAGCTGGATGATTGCTGTCAGCAATCAAAGAAGTCTTGAAGTGATAGATGCTCATTTTACTTCCAGAGTAATGCTCTTCACTTGGCTCCTGCTGCGAACGCATAGCACAACTTGCGGGATACTTTGAAGCCTAGGGTTGCCTGAGTGGTTCGCGCCGTTATCTGGGAGTCACAGTTCGGGTTTGAGGCATTGTTGCCTGTATCCTCATGTCGGATAATACTGATGATGCTTTAATTGTTAATGGACTGCTGAAATCCCCTTTGACCATCGAAACGAGTCAATGGCTTCAGGAGGCTTAGAAGCAAGTTAATGGACGGGTTGAATCCTCACCCTTTTCGCCCTCACACAGCGTTCATTGATGCAACTCAAGACTTGTCCAATGAGTCTCCAGCATTTGTTGCTTTTTGTTGTTGCGGCAGCTCTAGAGTTTCCTATTCGATTGTATCACTTCCAACAGGCAAGCAATGCCCACTGACCATTTGGCTCGCTACCCCAGGCCTCACCACCTGTTCGGAAGGCCGCGGGACGCCTGAACGCCACACCAGCGCAGGTGAGGGCCTGAGGGCCAGGTGGAGTATTTTGAGCTCGATTCTTGCAGAGCTTCTCCGGCTTACTTCGCCTTTGTGCTTGTTTGGTACTGATCCCTTGTGAAAAATGTGTTGACTGGCAGGTCGTCATGCAAGACTCCTGAGGTTCGTGCTTGATGCTGTTGGGCCCCTGTGCAAAAACAAAGGCTCCTTGGATCCTGAGTCCCCAAGCAACACAGGCCTGAGCATGTCGTTCCAGCTTCAAATGTGCAAGTGGCTTGATACAAATAGTTTAAAGCAGGGGTCTGAAGACGATGGCAGGTGCTTTTTGCTTGGCTAGTTCGTTCTGGGCACCAACCGCTTACTGGCACAAAGTGTCCTGGCTTGGGCGTGGGGTGGGCTGTGTCCGCGGCTGCTTGCCCTGCGAAATGGGGTTGTCTACAAAATTTAGTCAGGGTGGGACTTTTGGTGGTGAGGTGTCACAAACCCCAGCAAAATGATGAGGAGCAACGACACGATAATGTTTTTGTAGAACTAGACTGGCCAATCTGCAGCTGGAGCGGCAGAAGTGTATTTCGTTTTCTACACCTGTACTGAACAGTTGCGGTTTCGAGCTGGAGCTGCGGAAGCGTACTTCGTTTGCTACACTTGTGTTGTGATTTCGAGCTGAAGCTGCGGAAGTTACACACGTACCGAAAAGTTGCGATGTTCGAGCTGAACCTGCAGAAGCGTACTTTGCGTACTACGCTTGCGCTGAAAGGTTGCGATTCTTGAGTTTGTTCTGCCAATAAGGAGGAACAAACGTAATTAGGGTCGAACAAGTAATTGGGCAAGGACTGGGAAGGGTCATACATGCCTGAGTGCCAAGGAGCTCAGTGCACATGAAGGAGGATTTGGCAGCTGCCAGTTTGGTTCTGACAGATGCAGAAGCGTCTGAGATCGCCAGCCTTTTCTCTGGGCGCTTCTTCTAACACTTGGTGCCTTAAAGTGGTGGAGCGGGCGTATGCCTGAGGCACGGCACAGGCCACAGAGGGAGTACTGCAAGCTGGCACCAAGTTCTGGCCAATGGGCATGGGTGATTTGCCTGAGCCACCGTTCCATGGGATGTGACAATGTCTGCAGTCTTTGCAGTCTTTGCAGTAAGGGGTTGGCGATCTGGAGCCAGATCTGCGCGGGCTTCAGGTCCCAAGGAAAAAGGAGCGTTGCCCAGACACGTACACCCGGCTCAGAGCGTACGGTCACTGAAGCGTGCCCCGTGTGCATCCCAAGAGGCCGCATCCCATCTTCCTGAAGTGGGCGCAGGACCCTCACGACGAGGTGCCTGGCTTCAGCTCCAAACGCAAGCTCAAACTCCCACTCCTCTTTCGGGAACTGCTTGTTGCTTGGGGCTTGCATGCTACCAGCGATCGAGCGTTGACGCTTGAAATTACTTGGTTTCTGCATGGGCCACACTTTGTCACATTTGTTGGACTGGTAGTCCAAGGGCTTTCCGATGCACGTGAATGAGTGACGGGCAGCAAGGTGAGCACCCTCCATGTCCGGGGATTCCAAAATTTCCTGGCGCGGAAGCTTAGAGATCTCGCGCTCGAAATTCCGCGCGCACGAGAGAGAGAGAGAGAGAAGGGGGGGGAGGCGGGGAGGCAGAGAGACGACGCGGGTCAGGTCTTCTCGTGCAGCAACCTCATCTTCTGCATCTTCGCAGTGACCCTGGCGAGCGCCAGGCCGGGAAAGTGGCGTGGGTCGCTCTCAGCAGTAGGGTTGAAGGGTTGGAGGATGGCCGGTGGATGGGGATTTGAAAAGGTAGCTTCGCTTCAGTCTGTTCTCCGGACAAGTGCGGATGCTGGTGAGCAGCTTGCCGAGGGGTTGGATGGCACATCAAGACGCATGCCATTCAACTGAGGTTCGCCTTTCTGGGCCGAAGCCGCTCTCCTTATGATGAAGTCCTGGGCCAGAATGAGGCATGAAGGGGTATCATGTTTTTTGACCTGGCTGGGCAAGATCTGCTGGCACTCAGAGTGAGCGAATGTGGGCAATTGGCGCTTGACCAGGATCGTAAGGCCCTTGGGAAGTTTGAGTGTCCGGGGTACTATTTCGTTGGACATATGAGCAGCCGACAAAACTGACAGGGCCTACCCAAATCCCATACCCATCAACCTTCAAAGCCGATAGGGGCCCGCCCAACAAGATACCCCAGAAAGTTGTACGTTGCTTAAAGTTGCTTACGTGAGATTTTGAGATGTTGCTTTTCCAGGGCTTCCTTTGCCCGGGGCACATGGCAGGCTGCCGAACTGCCAAAGGACCTTTCTGCCCACCGCTATGCGTGAGAGTGGCTGCTGTCTCACCAAGCTCACGAATGAGGCTACGCAGGCCGCTTGCCTGCTCGGGATGTGGAGGTCAGCTGTAGTTTATGTGCCGGGATTGTTCCTGTACAGAAGCCCAGATGAACGCAGGCTCCGAATTCCAAAGAGGCGTAGGATGCAGCATACTTCTGCATATTGAGCCATTTGCCGAGGCAGCAGGCTTTTCCATTTGAAAGCTGTGATGACCGCATCGCCAAGCTCAGCCCAACACTTGCCTGTCATCTTGAGGTCTCCGCAGTTTGGAGGGCTCAAAACAGAAAAAGCAACCGCTCTCCCATCTCCCAGGATGCCGTGCCGCGGGCCCAGCGGCACGTGTCAACTTGCGGCCTGTGCGGCTCAAACCGCCTCGGAAGTCCGTCCTGCAGGGAATTGAGAATGCAGACGGCCGAGCTGCAAATTTCGGCCCGCAGTGAATCGAAAGGAAAAGAGATGCTACAAGCACTGCATGAAACTGTCAATCGGCCGAGCAGGGAGTGCTTCAGAGAGCACGCCTAGCAAAAACTCAGCGAATGGTGGTGATGAAAAACCCTCGGCAGAGGACCCCTGGGTTTGACACATCCTCGAAGCTTTTAGCGCCCTTGATCCAAATTTGATCCGTCACTCAACCTACCATTTCTAATCAGTTTCTGCCCCCTCCCAATAAGGCCCATAACCTTTGCAAGCCTTGCCGGGAACTGCCAAAATTGCGTTCTGCCATGGGCTTGGTAAACTCGTGCTGTACGTCCCTTGCATCTGGGTGGAGAAGGCTCCTGGCCTATGCACGCTCGCAGGCAAAGACGCTGAAAGGGGGAGGGGCAGGAGTTGGACTGGGGGCGGGGGGGCGGGGGGCGGGGGGGAAGGAGCCGACTCGTGTTTGGCAAGTGCTGCTAGCAAATTCTTTGCCAGCATTTGTTCAAATTTGAGGCAATCTAGCAATACCGGCCCTACGCCAAGGGCCCGTTGTTCAATGGCAATCCTGAAGCAGGGCCGCGCCATGCCTCGCCCTGGAGGCTTTGGGCTTGCCAGGCCCGGGAGTGGTGCCGTCTGCCAGTGCGCCGAGCGAGCTGTGCGAGCCAAGTCGCGAGCCCGTGACGGCGCTGCCGCTCTTCGGGGAGATGGTGCTCTACGGCTTCGCTGATGGCGAGCTGCTGGGTGTCGAGAGCCAAACCCGGGCCGTGCTTTTGCGGGAGAGACTCCCAAAGGCGTGAGGGACGAATTTGGGAGTTGATTCGTTGCAATTTGGTGGAACTCAAAATGAGGCATGCCTTACGTGCTCAACTCCCCCCTTAGTGCGAGAGTTAAGTACACAACGTAGCAAGTTCTACTTGCTGTCAGTCACGGGACGCCTGTGTACAACACGCGCACCCAGTGTCCAACCCACGGTGGCGCCTGTTGCATCTTGCCTTGTATTCCTGTAATAACGTAACACAATACGTCGGATTGTGAGTATTTTTGCGCACGCGTCTTGCACCGCAGAACGCACAGGCGTGAGCATTTGCCTTTTTGCAAATTTGGCAACATTGGCTGCAACGGAGTTTGCCAGCGCATCAGGCGTGCCACATGTGCCGCGAGCTGCCGATCTTCATTTTATTTATGCAGTAAATCTAAGAGCGGAAACAGTAGCATAAAAACCCACTGGGTTTTAGATTCTTTTGCAGTCTGACCGTCGCACCTCTTCGTCTTTTGCATCTCATTCTGGCAGCACCCCGCGATGTTGAACTTCTTTGAGCCGCTGGGTGGCCCCACCGGCCCTCCATCTGAGAGAACGTAGGAGTGCCCCTGTGTTCAGACTTCCTATGGCAAGTTCTGTTTTCAGGCTTGTTGCAGTGCTTTTGTCCCATAGTTTGCCCTTACTTTTTTGTTTGTTTTCTTTTTTTTTGGTGCGGCTTTTTGAGACTGTTTTTGAGGATTCACGCTACACACGGCGCCGCGCAGGGTCAGGCCCCAACATCCGCAAGGCAAATGGCAAGCATGCCAGTGCGATTGCAGGCATCAAGTCGCGACTGTTTAGAGAACCACCTGGCAAACAATATGTTGTGCACATTCAGCAGCATGTCAATTCTGCTGATGTCAAGTTGAGTATAGTTGAGTTATTGAGCATGGGCGACCTGTGACGACATGTTAGTTATGCAGCCGCTTAGGTTAGGGTCCTTTTGTGGGTCCGCATGCTTGAAATAAAAGGCCATCGATAGGTTTGATGGTTGAGTGATTGATTCGGTTTTGACTAGTGTGCCGGGCGCTGCCGGGCATTCTGCTTTCATGGCAAGAGGGTCAAACACTTGAATCGGCACTTGCAAGAGGTCAACGACTGACCAGTTGCACTTTGTTCTCTTTGTTTTAGCCGTGGCTTTCACATCGCAGGGATTATCTCATGGACCGCGGCAGTTATGGACGTTATATAGTTCGCTGACGGCATTTGATTTACAAACTTCCAGCCATCAGGTGGCCACATTTACAGCAACTGACAGGGCCCAACTCAATAAAAGCTTAGATTGCTAGGCCTTGAGCGGCATGATTTGAGGCCAGTCTTTTCCGGACGTTTGTTCTGTTGCCACTCTACCCACTCTGCCTTGGCAGAAGCTCAAAAAAGCCCCCGGGCCCCTGGGCCGTTTGGGGAATTTGGATGGGATTTGGTTCAGGAGCTCCTCGAGGCTGACTTGGCGCGGAAGAGCGCGAGGAGCTTCCGGGGCAGCGTGGAGACCTTCCGCAAGCAGCACCTCGAGGCCTTCCGGCCCGCAGTCCTGCGGCAGTCTGCGCAGGCGTGGACGGGGCATATGGCAAACATGAAAAATCGCGCATCGGAAAAGACGCGAGCACAGCAAGTAAGGAAGTTAGGCAGTCGCTGAGCTAGCTGAGCTAGCTAAGTTAGCAAGTTAGCAAGTGAGTGAGTGAGTGAGTGAGTGAGTGAGTGAGTGAGTGAGTGAGTGAGTGAGTGAGTGAGTGAGTGAGTGAGTGAGTGAGTGAGTGAGTGAGTGAGTGAGTGAGTGAGTGAGTGAGTGAGTGAGTGAGTGAGTGAGTGAGTGAGTGAGTGAGTGAGTGAGTGAGTGCAGCGGCAGCTGTAATGTATTTTGGCCTGGTTGCACTTATGCTGTCAGAGAGCGGTGCTGGGAGTGATTGGTTTTTCTCATTGGCTGCAGTTTGCAGAAGGGCAGTGGCAATCCGCCAGCCGTGAGTTTGGGACCGGGCCAAGCCTACCTAAAACGAAGGCGCCGCCCTTGACGAGAAGTTGTTGTGCAGAGGCCCAGTTCTTTCAGGTGGGCCCAGAAAGAATCCAGGCACTTGGCTTGCAAATTCCTTCATATCTCTTCCACAGGGGTGGCCTGCAATGGAGAAGTGGGACTTTGAGTTCTTCGCCAAACACTGCGGCGACATCGAGGTGGAGGCCACGCTGCGCCAGGGCAAGCGCCAAAAGCTGCTGCTCAGGGACTATCTGAACGATTGCAAGCTGCAAGCAGGCGGCCACGTGTTTCCATGGGCCGTACCGTCCGCATCGTGCTTTTTATTTGAAGAAAGTTGTAAGGAGGTTTCCCTGGAAGCCCCGGCTGTTCCTTCTTCTCATGACCGACGCAGTAGCAATTGGCTCAGGGTGCCAACCTAATGATTGCAAGACGCAGATGTTTGAACCACTGTTTGATTCTACTTTCTCCAGTGGTGTGCACCATGCAATGCTATCTTGGTGTTTCCCAGCCATACCCTTAGACTGTCAGACTTTTCGAGTTTAGAGTTGCTTACGACGTATCGATCAGCCCAGCTACCAAGATATGACAGATGGGTTTGTGCCATTGGTTCATTTGCAAGCGAGTGCCATTTGTCATCATGTGCCCCAGGTGGCGATGAGTTGCCGTACTTGAGGGGCTGGTACTATCAGAGGGATGCCCCGTGGCTCCAAAAGGACCTGTGGGAGAAGGGCGACTTTCATGATGTGGCCTTTCAGGCAGGGCGGGGTCGGAATCGGCAGGTTTGGGCCCTAGTCTCTGCTTGAGGGGCACGTGCAGGATTGGACATGACAACTGTGCAAACATAGCCAGGATTGGTTCAAACGCCTTCCTGCCCGCCATCATCCGGATTTCCACTGGCTTTTCATTGGCGCCGCAGGGGCAATCACTCCGCTTCACATCGACCCGTCTGCCACGCACGCGTGGCTCTCACAGATATCGGGGCGGAAGCGCTTTACTCTTTTTGCACCCAGTGACTTGCCCGAGCTGCTCAGCGAGAGCGGCGGCTTCAAACCTATTGCGGACATCCCTGTCAAGCGTCAGGCAGGTTTCTTTTTCCCCAGATAGCAAGCTATAGGGGTTCTGACTTCTAGTAAAGAGCGGAACGTAATTTGCGAGATTGATGGGGTGCTGGTGCGGGTGTTGCTTTGGGGTGCTGTTGGGGTGCTGTTTGGGGTGCTGTTTGGTGTTGGTGCGCGCACGTTTGTTTGGTGTGGTGCAGGTGCTGTTGGAGGTACTTGGCCGGGTGCTAAGCAGTTTGGGGTGCTGGTGCAGGTTTTGTTGGAGGTAGTTATGACCCGGGTGCTAGGGGGCATGCAGTTTGGGGTGCTGGTGCAGGTGCTGTTTTGGGGTCGCTGGTGCAGGTACAGTCAGACGCTGGTGACGGTGGGGCTAGGGGGCATGGGGGTGCTGGCAGGCTGTTTGTTGCAGGAAGCCCTCGATCAAATTCTGCCCTTTTTCAATTTGTCCCTTCGACCTGCGCCAAACTTCAAGCACCTATGCTGGCCACAAAAATGGAGCAACCAAAAACACTTAAGGTTTTCGGACTTTCAATTCCACATCAGGAAGCCTCTCAATTCTGCACACAGAAGTGTCCCTGAAGTTAGTATGATTTGGCCAACGAGCAGTGTGCAATCCTCGACCTGTTTTGTGCTATTTGGGATCTATGCTGGTGTAATTTGAACTTTGCAGGGAGTTTAGGAGGCTGAGGCTGTTTTGCTCTCCAGCCATTTTTCATCTCTTTCTTCAGTTGTCCTTTGCCAGGAGATAGTTCTGGAGCCCGGCGACACGATCTTTGTGCCGGCGCATTGGGCTCACCAGGTGGAGTGCCTGGATGATTCAATTTCAGTGACATGGAACTTCCTCGGGGAGAGCTTGTTTCCGACGGTGCGTGCAGCTTTCCTGGCAAATGCGGCGAAGCCTGCCTATGAGCCGGAGCTGTGACGCGGGGGATATGAGTTGGCTTCACCAGCTGGGCAAATGGCTCAGGTGTCTAACCTTTTCAAGCTGCCGCAAAGGCAAATTTGAGAAGTCTTGACTTGTGTAGCAAGCTCTCGTTCAGGTGGATTTTTGGTCCAGCCCAGGCGTGGTCAGCGAAATAGCAGGTGTAGCTGGACAGCTGTGGCCCAAAAGCTTGCACGAGGAGACAAACAAGAGGATAGGGACAACCCTGCTTCACCAGCCGCGATTTGCCCAAAGCCCTGTGCCTTGCCACCCCTCATGCATCCTGCTGTGTGATTCAGTCCGTACGACTTGTGCTGAGCGTCCATCCTGTGTGTACCAATAATATCTGTATGTCCTTCGCCTGCGCCGAGGCACAGGATATAAGGCAATGGCGGCGGGTGCTGCCGCAGTGGCAGGCCGGCGGCTTTGGTATGTGAGACTGGTCGCAAGGGCCGCTGGGGGTCCCAGGGATGGATAGAGGCGGAGTGCTTCCTTGAAGTTTCCGCATGCCGCCTTGTGGCCTTTGTATGTTTCTCTGGCTTGTTGAACAGTAGCGAGACCCTGCTGGGCGGCAGGAGGCATGTCCTTCGCAGTGGCGCCGGGTGCTGCGTCCCTAGCGCTCTTGCATCATTTTGCAGGACCCCTGCTTTGAGGTGAAGACTTGGTTCATCATTGCCATTGGGTGTTCTAGCAACAAATTGTTGAGCAACAGAGAGGCCTTTGGGGTTGGGAATGGACCGAGACTTGGGTCTTACCGAGGTGGCGCAGCCTGCGAGTCGTACGCAGGGCGCTCGTGCCCAGAGCACGCAAAACACGCGGAGCGCGAGGGCCTCGGAGCCGCACGGCGTGCCCGTGCAACGAGAACCGCGGCCAACATGTCAGACCAGAAAAATGCAGAATCGGGCTATGTAGCTTGAATCAACACCTTGTCATCGGCTGCACGGCGTCTCTCTTGGAACCATCCCGCGCCGCTCTGAGGGCGCCAGTTCCTTGGCGGCCCCCGCCGTCGCGGCGGCCATGGGCGCTTGCGCCGCACGACGGGCGCAGCGGGCGCAAAAGCCGAGGCGCGGGGCTGGGAGGCGACGGTGGTAGGAGGTTAGGCGAAGGCGATGCCGCCGACACATCGAAGTTCGGGATTGTTGAAAAGAGGGCAGCGGGGCAGCGGTGTGTGGGTGCGTGTGTGACTCATGACTGAAGTCAGCGAGTTCATATTATGTTGAGTCTTGCGCCAAATTCAAGCACAAAGCCACATCTGACAAGTGAAGCGGTAATATGGTGGTTCAGGACTGCCACGCGGGTTGTCCAAGAGTTCGAGGACGTGTGCGAGCAGACTGGGGTGACTCTTAGCCGCTGCTCATCTGCATTGAAGAGCTACTAACGGGTTGAAATTAAGCCGACAATTCGCTGTCAGGCTCTTTTTAATCTGGCTGTTCCGCCAGCATGCGCTGTTCAACCACGAAAAGCCCTTCTTTGGATGCAAGTGCAAGAGCCTGGCATGCCACAGCACATCCAATCAACATGATGTTTCCAGTGAATAAACAAGGCTGGAGGGCCAAGGCTTTTTTTGTTCTGTCCATTCGTGCGCGAGCGGATTTGCTCACAGTCTATCTTCCAGTCCAGGGGCTCTCTCGTTGCCAGGCAGAAAGGGCCACTATCCCCAAACCTTCACTGTGCATACTTTGCGCTCAGGCTACTGCATCGAGCTCGCCAACCGCGGAATCATCGATTCGGATTTGGACTCCATCTTCAACTCGATCCGCGAGGCCAGACTTTCTCCACAAGTCTGTCCAATCCTGTGCTGACTTGCTGGTGCAGGCTGCCAAGGTGATCAGCAAGCTGGTCAACACTGCTCCGCTGAAGCAGGAGGGGCAGACCTGGATGTGGAAGAGTTTTCAGCGTGTAAAGTAAGGAAAGAAGGCAAGGCCGAAGACTTGTGCATGGAAGGGTGGTGCTTTGGGAGCTTAAGCCAAACGCAGTACAGTTGATGCTCGGCAGAAAGAAAGCTGCCGAGCAGGGCAAGAGCCGTGCGCGCCAGGCGGAGCTTTTGGGACTGGAGGGCGAAGTCAACGTTCAAGGGGAGGACCAGAAAAAGCTGGATGCCAGTATCTCGGTGCTTGGCGGGGCCGGCAGCGTGGATCCTGGGGCTGGGTTCTGCCGATGCAGCAGGATGATGCCTGGTGAATCCCTGCAAGAGCACTGGGAATGCTCCGACGTTACATGAGCGGCTGCACAACTCAGGTCATCACCAACGATGTGTTCAAGAACGCGTTGCGCTACACAGGCCGCCCCCCTGTATAATCTTTTATATGACAGCCGGGGCGGTCGAGCCTGCTGACTCCGTCATTATGGGGCACATGTTGGCGGCAGAAGCAACGCGTTATTTACATCATTATACCGCACATGTGTCATAATTTGGTCGTGGGCGGGCAGCCACTCATTGGCTTTCTACTTGCTACTTGTCAGGGGTATCCATTTCGGTGCATTTGTGCCTAGATGGTGCCAGCTGTCAGGCAAACTGGGGACATTGGCTTCCGAGGAGGAGGACGAGCCAGTGGATGCCTCCTGGCCACCCGGCAAAATTCCCTTGATCATGTTCGAGTTTCCGCGGCCGCGCGATGCGGCTTAATTCGATTGGTCCTCAAGTGGCCAGCTAGACATGCACAATGTGATGTCTAGGCTTTGGTGAGGCAAGCCCTGACAAGATTTAACATAAAGGCAGTGAGTTGTTGGCGACCGTCAGCACGAATTGCCAAGGATGGGGACTGGAGAAACGGAAGCTATCCCAGTGCTCTCAGAGGCAGAATCGGGTGGGCCGCAAGTTTACCCGCTTGAAATGACCAAGCGGACGTGTGTTTTGCTGGTATCGTCATGGTTGCCTGGGCACACGCATTCAAAGATCTTAGACGCATTCCGCGCGATTTTCTTCAAGCCCAAGCCCGGAAAATGGGTTTGCTGACCACAACGCTTGCATCAGCATGGTAGTGGCCCCGGCCCCTTTCTATTAATCATTGTAGCCTTGCAACCCTCAACATGGGCAAGCCGCTGCATCCCAGCAAAGCTCTTGACCTGCCTCTTTTGGCAAGCAGGAGTTTGCCGACACTGGCAAGTACATCTGTGTCTTCGATCCCTTGGATGGCAGCAGCAGCTCTGATTGACTGGGCTGCTTTTCTCGCATTCCGCTTTCGGCCCTGCTGGCATACATGAAAAATAAGTTAGCTTTGAACATCCCTCCTAGGATGGCGGAATCAGGTTCGACGGGGGAAATTGGCTTCGGACGGCATGATTGCCTCCGCTTGGCTTTAGAGGTTGCCCACATCTGCAAGGCAACGTCGATGCGGGCATTCCTGTGGGCACCATCTTTGGAGTTTTCGAGGAGCCTACTAGGGCTGCGGCAGCATCGATCATAGGCCCAGCACTTGCACACGTTGGAACTGGTGGATCCATGCCAGAGTTTCAGCCAAGAAGCAATTTTGGGAGGAGAGCATGCGCAGGTCCAAGGAACCGACCTAGGCAGTAGCTTGATGGTTGTTGATCTGCTTCTGCTAGTGGCTTTAGTCAATTCGTGGGATGAACAATTATGGCAGAAGGCCGGCCCAAAGCTATCTCTCCCAGCAATACACAGAAGGCCCAACATTTTCATGTAAAGTTGTCTTTGAGCCACTGTTAGGAGCCGGACCCTGCGGAGTGTGAGCTGCCAGCGGATCTTTCCAAGGGCCTCTCCGAGGAGCAGCAGAAGCGCGGAGCCCACGTTGGATTCGGCTTGACTCGTGTGCATACACGTCGTACACGTGGTGTTTGTGTTAATTCAGGGGATGGAGCCAGGTGCTTGGCTGGAACATTGCAGCCTGGCAAGGCGGCGAGAGAGTTGCCACAGGTCTAGGTCAGACATAGCTGAAAGATGTCGATCACCGTGCGATTAATTTCGAAAGTGAAGACCGGGTCAGTTCTTGAAGCGCTCAATTTGAAGTTGGGCCGAGGGTTGCTTTGCTGTGACTTCTTCTCAGATTTCCGTGCTTTGCAGTCCCTGGTGGCTGCGGGCTATGTGCTCTACTCTGCCTCCACCGAGCTGGTGCTGACCTTCGGCAAGGGCGTCGTTGGCTTCACTTTGGACACAAGTCGCTTGGCCCAGCTGAGTTGTCTGCGCCAAAAAAGCGTTGGAGGGGTGATGATTGGGTGTCATTTTGTGCCATTTATCACAGGGGCGCGCGCTTTCCCAAGGCATTGGGGAGTTCGTCATGACCCGGCCTTCGCAACCTGGCTTCGTCGGTTGTGCCGCTGTTGCTCGGGCGTGAACAGATGGCTCTTTGCCTCAGCCTGGGGTGGTCGAAGCAGCTTTGCACAGTAGCTTCCACGGTTCCACCGGATTTTCCCGAGGTGCCTCATTAGGATGCAAAACAACCCAGGGCAGAGTCACCAGTTTTAATGCATCAACCTCGCCAGACTGATATGACAAGTTTCATGTTTTGCTGAACCTTCAGAACTAGGCTTGACCATGAAGCGAGTAATATGCTTTGCCTGCAGCAGTATGGGCGGAAGTTCTTGCTTCTTTGACGCCGCACATGCCGGAACAGCAGCTATGGGCAGAGCCATGCAAGGATCAAGATCCCATCCCGTGGCAAAATCTACTCCGCCAACACCGGCAATATCGCCGAAGCTTGGCGCAGATGACAAGTGGCATATGACTGGTATTTTTGCACCGCTGGCGCCTGACCGGAAGACGGCAATGATGATTCATATAAGGAGTGGGATGAGCCCATGAGGCAGTACATTGAAGACATCCGCGCGGGCAAAGGCGTGCAAAACAAGAAAAGCATTTGGCTGGGGTGCGGCATGAGAATATCTTCAAGAAACCTGCATATGTTGGGTGAGGTTCCTTGCAAGTTGATCGCAATGGCACACGTTATTCCAAGTTTGGATCCGCTTTGTAATTTGTTCAGGTGAGTCTGGCAAGCCGTACTCGCTGCGCTACATCGGCTCCATGGCAACTCAGCCGCAGAGCAGGGCATTGCACAGACTTCCGCCATGCCCTGCCAGCTTGGAGAAATACGTTTTGCAGCTTGCGATTGAATTTACCTTCCCTGGCAGGTGGGAGACATTCACCGCACGCTGCTCTATGGCGGCATTTTTGCTTACCCCGCGGACACCAAGAACCAGGCGGGGGTTTTGGAAGGCGTGTTCCATTGAGGCAGCTTGGGCTTATTTAGGAAACCTTAGGAAACGTGGATGGAGGTGGTTTGCATGCTTTTGCTTTACTGGGGTTCTTGCCGTCAGGATGGCAAGCTCCGGCTGCTCTACGAAGGTGCCCCCATGTCTTTCATCATGGAGCAGGCTGGCGGCAAGGCCGGGCCAAATGACAAACCTACACTGATTTGGGAAGGACAGCAAAGACACATTTTGGCATCGGTGTGTGCATGTGCGGTCCGATCTTGTTCCTTTGCGCAGGTGAGCCATTGGAATGCCGCTGTCATGTTGGTAGGAATTGCCCAGCGTTTTGCCAGCACCTGCGGAGGCCATCACCGGACACAGCAGGGTGCTGGACATTCCCCCAGCTGCTTGGATTTGATTCGGGCTCAATCCAATGTGTCCAATCGCGAGTGTCATTTCTTTGCTTGAAGTTAGTTGGCACTCCACCAAAGCTGCGGAAAAGGACGCATACATGATTCACTTCAAAGCGAAATTGGGAATCGCTTTCAAGCAAGTGTGCTGTGGCGGTTGCGTTCGTTTGTTTTGGAAGCCTACTGTTGTGGTCCCCACCCTTCCCGGAGGGGTCGGTGGATAGCCACTGTAGGAGTTGTTAGGGAGGCTGGGAATTCCCAAGTTTGGCTTCATAGGCTCTTCAGTTTGTATTTGTAGCTGAGGGGCGCAACATGGTTGGCATCTCACTGATTGTGTCAACTGCGTGCACCAAGGTGTTTGTGCACCAGCGCATTCCAGTCATCCTGGGATCCGCAGATGATGTGGATGAGCCGCTGGCCAAGGTTCGACCATCCCTTGACATGTTGACTCTTTGCTATTTTACCCATCGGTGCATACCTGTTTGTTAGAGATGTGCTAAAGCCAGACAAATGTTATTGTCTCTGGACCTCTTTTGCCCTCGTTGGCTGACAAAGCATTCCTTGAAGCTTTCCCAAGGTGCGGGAAGTATTATGACAAGAGCGATGACCCTGCGCTCAAGGCACGCCCATGGCGCTCCTCGGAAGTCAGCCATAAGCGCTAATCTTCCACAGCATATATCACTCATATATCTAATCCATAGCGAAGCCTTGAAGCTACGCTGAAAGATCCATCAGAGGTCTTTGCCCCTCCAAGAATCACAGCATGCGTCATGCTTTGGGCCCCCTTAGAATCAGAGCACAGGCGCGATGCGAGAACAGGCTCAAGGGCATGGTCAACGCGTAGGCGGGAGGACAGAGGCAGCCTAAGCGTGCATCAGAGGGGTTTGCTTCCTTTCTTGGGGCAACGCACAGATGCTTCGCTCTCAGTTTTCAAAGTTTGTGAAGCCACATTTGTTGGACAAGTTCGCCTTGAGGATGTGCTCGGATGTGTGTAATTGCAACCCTGCCGAGGCTGGCACCTGACGCGATCCGCTAAATAGCGAAACTTGTCACGAACGGTGGCCTTGATTTGATGAAGCACCTCGAACAAGTCAGGCGAAAAGGCAAAGGACTAGTGTGCCACTCGTTTGTGACAACACTACATCTCGATTCCCTTTTTTCCGGCTTTTGAATAGCTGAAGATTTGGATTGGCTGTAGGGCATTCTTAGGAACACGTCCAGATGTGTCTTACTTGACTCTTGCCTTAGTCTGATTTTCCTATCTTATCAGCTCGCTTGCGTAAAAAGAACGGCCGCTTGGTGCCAAGCTTTTCGGCCTTCAAGTGCAGGGTGGCATGCTCGCGGTTTTTGCAAAAGACGCTGGCATGTGCATCATGGAGTAGCACTGTGTTTGTCTGTGTCTGTGTGTGCGCACTTTTGTTCGTGCGCATGCGCGCGTGCGCGTTCGCATGCGCCCGCGTTCGTTCGTGAGTGCCACGCGCGTGCACGTTCGTGCTTGCGTGCGTTCGTTCGTTCGTGCGCGTATACGTGTGCGTGTGCGTGTGCGCGAGCGTGCGTGCGTGCGCGTGCGCGTGGGCGTGTGCGTGGGCGTGGGCGTGTGCGTGTGCGTGTGCGTGTGCGTGTGGGTGTGTGTGTGTGTGGGTGTGCGTGTGCGTGTGCGTGTGCGTGTGTCTGTGTGTGTGTGTGTGTGTGTGTCTGTGTCTGTGTCTGTGTCTGTGTCTGTGTCTGTGTCTGTGTCTGTGTCTGTGTCTGTGTCTGTGTCTGTGTCTGTGTCTGTGTCTGTGTCTGTGTCTGTGTGTTTGTCTGTCTGTCTGTCTGTCTGTGTGTGTGTGTTTGTGTTTGTGTTTGTTTTCGTGTTCGTGTTTGTGTGTTTGTGTTTGTGTCTGTGTCTGTGTCTGTGTCTGTGTCTGTGTCTCTGTCTGTGTCTGTGTCTCTGTCTGTGTCTGTGTCTGTGGCTGTGGCTGTGGCTGTGGCTGTGGCTGTGGCTGTGTCTGTGTCTGTGGCTGTGGCTGTGGCTGTGGCTATGGCTGTGGCTGTGGCTGTGTCTGTGTCTGTGTCTGTGTCTGTGTCTGTGTCTTTGTCTGTGTCTGTGTCTGTGTCTGTGTCTGTGTCTGTGTCTGTGTCTGTGGTTGTGTCTGTGTCTGTGTCTGTGTCTGTGTCTGTGTCTGTGTCTGTGCCTGTGTCTGTGTCTGTGTCTGTGTCTGTGTCTGTGTCTGTGTCTGTGTCCGTGTCCGTGTCTGTGTCTGTGTCTGTGTCTGTGGCTGTGTCTGTGGCTGTGGCTGTGCCTGTGCCTGTGTCTGTGTCTGTGTCTTTATCTGTCTCTGTGTCTGTGTCTGTGTCTGTGTCTGTGTCTGTGTGTTTGTGTTTGTGTTTGTTTTTGTGCTTGTGTTTGTGTTTGTGTTTGTTTTTGTGTTTGTGTGTGTGCGTGTGTGTGTGTGTGGGTGTGGGTAGGTGCATGTGCATGTGCGTGCATGCATGTGAGGGAGGGAAATCACGAGAGTGGGTGAACTAGGCAGGGAGGGAGGTAGATGGGTAGGTGTGAAGTGAAGGAGGGAGGCAAAAAGCTATTACCCGTTCACCTGAGCATCAAATAAAAGCAACTTCCAGAAAAAGGTGACCTGCAGATACGAGAGCGCTAGAGGAGCGGAATGGCAGTTTGTAGCGTGAGTGCAGTTGCAAAAGATCCTGGCGTGTGAAGTTCAGGGCAACAACACGTGCAACAATCTTACTTCAAGTATGCTGGAAGAGTTTCCTGTGTTTGTGCGGGCTTTAGCTGGATACTGTACCTGCCAGTCGCTTCTCGAATCAAGGTGACCGTGGTGGTTAGGCAGGCTCAAGCCGGGTGCGAATGCCGCGCCATGCCTACAAGGCAATGTGGGCTGGCAGGGAGTGGGGCTTGTTTTTTTCCACACGCTCGCCCAGCTTGCCAGCACACTTCTTCGCAGTTAAAAAAATGTCAGGGCAGCTGGCGCATGAGGGTCATCCATGCATCATGCAAATTTGTTTGCCCTTAGCGGAGCTCATTGCGTAATTCAAGTGCAACTCGACACGCTCACAGGATGCCATGGAACCACTCCAAGACTACAGGCAATTTCCGGTATTTGACACAAACCAACTGGTCCCGATTGGGAGCAGGGTGCTGGCTCCCGGGTGCGTGTCCTTCATTGGGAATGCGAGTCGGGTTGGGATTGCACCTTGAGCAGTTGAGAGGTACGCAGCTGCCAGTCTCAAAGGCACAGTGCGTGCCTCATCAACAGAAATGATGCCAATGGGTAGGGTAAGCCTAGCGGTGACAAAATCTTTGCACTCAGAGCAGACCTGGTGGTAAGTCTTGTCATCAGATGCAGTACCTAATCAAAGTTGGTTTCAAGATCTGTGTTCCACTTGGAATGGCGCGTGCTGCCTTCCTCCCTGCCGCGGCAGCGGCGGTGGCAGTTCTTGCCTGGTGGCATTCTCGTCGAAGGCAGAAGAAGCCATACACGTCCATTGAAGCTGCAGAGGACCCAGAGGTAGTGGGTGCCATATTGCCCGATGCCTACGAGGGCACACGCCTTGCCACGGCGCGCCATGCATTCTGCGTGGCCCATTCCTCTCCGCTAAGTGATGCAGTGCAGCAAGTGGCAGACCGGACGCAGAAGCTGCGGATGCCTCAAATGCTCAGTAGCCCCCTCACAGTGCAGCTGTTGCAGTCAATAATCCGGGCCTCGCAGGCCACACGCGTCCTTGAGATCGGCACCTATACAGGCTTCACGGCTATTGGTATGGCGGAGGCCTTGCCACCCGGAGGCACCGTGGTTTGCTTGGACGATTTCTCAGATGAGCCCGACGCCCAGACGGTTTGCGAAGAGGCCATCGCCAGCAGTGCCGTGAGTGGCCGCATCCAGCTGCGCGTGCAGCAGGCCTTGCGGGGGCTTAAGCAGCTGGCAGATGAAGGTGCAGGTCCCTTTGACATTTGTTTCATTGACGCGGACAAGGAAAACCAAATAGCTTATGTGGAACTCTTAGACGATGCAGCGCTCCTGAAGCCCGGTGCCTCCGTGCTGGTTGACAACACCCTTTGGTACTCGCGCGTCTTAAGGCCGAGTGACAAGCATGACAAAGCCACAGCAGCCATAGCAGAGTTCAACAAACATGTCCTGGGTGGGCGCTGGCACGTAGCCATGCTGCCAATCAGGGATGGAATCACCATATTGCAGAGGGTGGCGCCTGCGCCTTAATCTCACCAAACTGCCTGCGATGCTTTCTGCGCCCTGATGAAGTTGCTAGCCTTGGATAGCACAGCCGTCGGACAGGCAGAAGTGGCATTTTTACCTCTTTGCCTCGACAGCCACTGCGATTTGTCCGAAAAGAGGGGTCCACAAAAATCGGGTTTCACTTTTGTGGACACTCTTGGCCTTTGTACCATGTCATCACCACATGCCACGGCCATGGGTCATCCAACGCTCCGGCGCATGTCTTGCACAGGGGCGATCTCCCTGTCAAGGCACTAGGTTGAAGACGATCTCTTGTGGATAGAGACGCGCTTGTCACAAAGCGCGGCCACTATAGCCGCAAGTCGGTTTTTGCTTTGATGACAGGCCGCGCAATGCCTCTCCCAATCCTGCGGCCCGGAAAGGCGCACGGGATGAGGCAGGACGTGTGGCGAGATTGGTGAGTTTGGTCAGGTCTGCAAAGAACTCATCGAATAGGTTTCAGGTTTCAAGTTCCAGTTTTACTTGTAGGGTACATTCGCAGCCTGGCCCTTTGCCAACTTGCGGCACAGGCGCAGCGAACCGATGGTGTGGCTCCCCGGCAGTGTACTGACGTGGGCTGCTGCTTGTGCTTCGTCCTTTTCCTGGCACTGACTCTTCAAGGCTGATGTTGCAGCAAGCTGTGCAGGGGTGCTTTCATTCTGTTCCGTTTTTTGTTTTGGGAGAGTGCTTGTGTGCAGTAACCTGTACCTACAATGCGTACTATGCTTGATACCGCCCTTGCCTTCAAGTATTCAAGCATTCTGACTCAGCCTGCTGCAACGATGCCTTTGTCTGACCGACCTTGAACAGCCAATGACGGGTGACATCAGAACGAGCCAAGCTGAAGCGATCCCAAGGGCGTGAGCATGTTGTCGCCGTGATATCGCGAAGGACTCCTCGGCCCACCGGACTTCCAGAAGCTTTCGCGCGGCATTGACCACCGCGGACGCATTTGCGGCTGGAGCCCTGGAGCCTTGGCAGCTCGAGCCGGAATGTCGAAAGGGCTGGGCCGTGGGCGCCGTGAAGCTCTCAGACTGGTGTGCCAAGGAGCTGAGGAGCAGAGCTTTCTGTACTGGTGCGTGGCCAGGACTTGCAGTGCAGGCCTTGTGCATTTTGGTAATCTGACACGCTACGACATGATCTGAATTGAAACTTTGCATGGGCCGCGCCAACCCAAGGGCAGAAGAGGGGCCATGCCTTCAAGATTGCAGTAGCTCGCTTTTGGAGTCTCAAGGGCTGTGCTGTCGGGGGGGGGGGGGTTGGGTGATCCAAGACGTCAATCTATTGAATGGCTCGGAAGGTTGTGCCCTGTTTGAAGTTTCCACTGCTGTGATTCTTTCAACCGATATGTTTCAGGGCAAATCGTGGCGGCAGGACGGATGGCGTAACTCTGAACCTCACTTCGGCCATTTGCATGAACGAGTGCCCACAGGAAGGCACCACTGTTCTTTGCCCGGGCAACTTGGACATCTCAGAGACGGAGGAGGTAAGAGGCGCGGCATGCATCCCGGGACCCACGCAAGCCCTCTCTTGAAAAAGCATGAACACATATGAACACGCAAACTATTGGTATTGGGCAGAATTGCCAGCTTCCCAGATGCGTTGGGCAGCTGTCGAGGTGCAAGCATCTTGCTGGTGCGCACAGAGAAGCAGCTATTGTCTCCGCAGAAGGCAGTGCAGTTTGTTTGGCCGCTGACAGCGCGTTTGCCTGGCGGTTTCAGTTCGAACCAGCCCTTCTTTTTTTTATGTAGGGCTCATGGGCTTCGCGGGAAGGCAGCAGCGACGAAGACCTGGATCGATCGATACTGCGTCCCCACTGTGCAGATCGGCGACGCGTTGTTGGCTGGAACCCCGCTGATGGGGAAAGTGGGCTCAGGCGCTGGCACAGGGATGTGCTTGGGGCTGGTGAGAAAGCCTACATATCCTTGAGGCGCAACGGACGTGAACCGGGCATCATTTGGAGGCTGAAAGTATGCTTTCGATTTTACATGCTTGATGTTGTTCAGCATTTCCACATAAGGCATTCAGCAGCACTGCATTTCCTTGGCAGTGGCAATCCTCGGGCCAGCTTTTCACCAACACTGGTCACACTAGCTGGGCGTCATCTAGCTGTCACCGTTGAACATCGTGAGGCAGTCACCAAGGTAGGAACCGTGGCAATAACTCTGATTGCAGCAAGCCCGAGCTGATTGCCTTGTGCAAAATCAGAGGCTTCCAATGAATCTGGCTGTGGCTGCTTGTTGAAATTGCGACCCCGCGAAACGTGGGGTTTGAAGGAAACCGATGACAACTAGACCAGTTTGTAGCCAGCCTTAGTTCTTGGCAAACCCTTTGTTGTTTAAGTTGCTCTGACTGATAATGTCAAAAAGACCAGTCCTTAACAAGAACCGCCCCAAAATAGATGAGTACCTACCCACCTCTGATGTGGCGCTTGATGATCTCAACCGAACAAAGGGCGGGTGTGTTTGCCACATTGGCTCAGGTTCATTTTGTTGCCCCATCATCCAGAAACCAGCTACAGGATCACCTTCTAGAGATTCAGTCATCAATGTGGTTCCCTGCAAGACGACAGGAAATCTCTGACCCTCGTTAGCTCCATAAACCTCGCTCCGTGAGTATGAACAAACAAACGCCAAGCAGCTCTCTTTTGCAAAAGAGAGCACGACAAAAGAATTGCCCAAAGAACTTTGCTACCCTCATGCTTGTTGATCACAGACCTTCGGCTCTTCCTGCTGGATGGCTTCCATTGGGTGAGCAACATCCTATTGACCTGACAGGTGCCGTGACCGAGGGCTTCCTTAGCGTCTTTGACCAGCTGTCCAGCCTGGCAGCTGCACCGCGGCTGCTGACTGCGGCAGCCGTTTGCACACTTGTGCTTAGCTTGGGCTATCTGCTGTGCCTCAGATTTTTCGCCCCTTGGTCGCCACAAAGGGGCTGAGAGGAGAGAGCAGCAGCAGCCCCAAAGTGGTTGCCCGCTACACACCCGCGTCATGGCCAGCGTCATGGCCAGTACCTCACCAGCTTTCAGGACCAGTCCCACCTTTTTGCAGAGAATGGGGTCGAGGATTTACAATCAAATCTTATTTATTACGAAATGAAGATCTTTCACGTGGACGGTGCTTCTGGTAGCTTTCGCAAGCAACCAACGGCACACTGACCACTTGGAAGGCCACATTGTGGCGCATCCAGGTGCCTTCTTTGTCTTTTGCTGTGTTGCGGACCTCAACAACTTGTTGGTCAAATTGCATGTGCTTTCGCTGGAAGTAAGCCCCAGGAAAGGGGAAAGAGTGGAATACTTTGGGAAGACATTCCTTTGTGGCATTAGGCCCTTCTCTTCCTGCGCCTCGCAGTGCTTGGCTCCGTGCTGGTGTGTTCTATCCTATGCGCCGGGCTGGCTGTGGCGATGACCTCGCCCAGGTGGATGGATGGATTTATGCCCGGAGAAGGCACGGCCTTTTGAACGCGTTAGGAGGGGGGTTGCCACTGCCAATTTGATTTGCTGGCAAACCAAGGGTTCAAAGGCCCAAAGGGAAGCCTCAAACTAATTTGCTTTTTTGGGCAACTGTTAACTGTTATCAAACTTGTCGAGCCACTTGATGCCAAGTGTTTTGTGCTCCCCTCTCTCCGTGCACTCACCGTTCGGCAGGCCAGTGGGCTTTTCTGGTCAGCTCTGGTCTTGCGGGTCCCTGGGGCACCTCGGACTGTTGTTGAGTCCCAAACAGAGGTAATGATTGGCCAGAAGCGAAGGTTTTAGCAAAGGCTGTACATCTGGAGGTGCCAGAAGGACGTTAGCTGTGCACAGTCAGGGGTGGAGGCTCCCTCAATAAGGACCCATCCCCGTTGCATCCGAGCCGAGTGCGGGCCATTGCGGCTGCTGCTGCGACGGCCGGGCTGTTGCTGGCCGGAGCGCTTCTGGCAGGACTGGGAGAATTGATTTGCTGGACAGCCACGGCCTTGAGCTGCCAATCCATGAAATTCTGCCCAACGTCAAGTCAAGTGCAAGTAAGAAACTGGGCGCGGGGCACCTGGTCCAAAGGTGGAAGCAATCAACAGAGCCGCTTTCAGCATTTGGCATATCAGCCCAACTCACACAAGTACCAACAGCGTACCCTTTGCTCAGAAAGAAGCAAGGGTGTCTCAAGGGTGATCTGCGCATTTCTTCTCATCCGCCCAAGAGTTTTTGGGTTGGACTTTTGCGGGGCTTTGGGGTGGCAGCTCTGTGTTGCAGGATGCCTTTGCGCAAGGCGCAGCATGGATGTGGCTGCAGACTGCATTCGCGAGTCCTGTGCAGTGCGGCGCCCGGAAACTAGTTGCCAGTGAACTTGTTAGATTGGACGCATGTTGTGCAGCACTAGGGGGGAGACTTGCCAGACAAACCAAAATTATCCCGGCAAGCGACCCCAAACATTGCTCAAACAGTGAGGCAGGACCCCCTGCAAGTAACATGAAAGTAGTCGTAGCAGATGCACAAGGGTTCCTGTAGAAGGTCTTGCGAGCGATCTTCAAACAGAAGCCTTCTGAAGCTCCCTGAAAAGTGCTCTTGTGGAAAAAGGTTCCGCGCAAAAGTTGTCTCGAAGAAATTCTACTAATGTTTCTTCAAATTCCTGGACAATATTTCTGCGGAAGGATCTTTGCAGGATCTGGGGTAGGGTCTCTTGATAGGATATCTTGGCGAGATTTGTTTGCAGGATCTCCGAGACAACCCTCTCCAAGCTCTCTCTTCAGGATCTGTAGAGTTGATATTAAATCTTGGCAGGTCCTGCGCAAGATCTGGAGTGGATCCCTATGCAGGACCAGAGCAGGATATTTGTGGGGGATCTTTGCAGGGTCTTTGCGCAAGATCTCTGGGTAAGTCTTTTTAAAAGGTGCTCTACAAGACCTCTTGGGTGGATGCTCTCCGCGAAGGACTGGGAGAGGATCTCTGCGCGAGATGTCTGGGCAAGACTTGCGCGCACGGTCCACCAAAGAGTCATTTATATGCATTTTCCCTGCTCAAGATCTGCAGGCAGCGTCCTCTAGAAGATCACTTGGAGGTGTTGGGGAAGAAATATTTCCAAGTCCCTGGCAAGAGCTCTTTAAGCCAGAGCCGGGCTGACATGACCCCGCAGAACAGGCCCCTAAAATCCCCCATTTTGAGGGTGAGGCCAGCCCTTCTACAGAACCTTCCACGGCGACCGGCCAAAAGTGAAGTCATTGCTGAATTGGAAAGTTGGTTGATCGTCCGGGTTGACGGCCCAGTCCAGCTGTGAGGATTCATGGTCATCATTGCCCAGCTATTGTCCTGCGATCTGCAAGGGCTGGATGTCCCAGCTGAGCCATGTTCCTCCTCGCGGCAGCCCCCTGCCCCCTGCTGCTCCTAGATCTTGCTCGGCTTCTAGCCGAACCGCTCCGCTGCCATGACATGAGCCTACACATTCGTGAGGCTACGTGGGGGCGGGCCCCCTTTTGGCTCTCAGGCTCAGCTACATGCATGTTTCCCACCCTCAGCCTGGATGGCGTCAAAATGCGCATGAAAAACAATCTGAAGCGCTGTGCTTCTGACATCACGAATTTGACAATATCGCGATGTTCCTCAAGATCCCACAGGATCTCGAGCAGATTGAGCTCAAGGATCTGGATCCCCCCGCCAACAATGAAACTGCACATGGGTGCAGAGACTGAGGTTTCAGAGGCTGAGACAGAAGGCAGCCTACCCTGTCAGAGTCCTCACATCTTGATGACGAGCGACTGCGTGGCCAGAACCTACGACAACGGGAGGGGACCCCCTATGTATTCAAAGTCTTTGGCAGGACCTGCGAGAACTTTAAGAGCATGCAGGGCCTGTTCGCCTTAGATGTTAACAATGTGCACAGCGGCACAGCGAGAGCGACCCGACCCGCCCAAAGTCCGCAGAGGGTCACGCGCCGCAACACAGACAGAGGGATCCGACCTGCCCGAAGTCAGAGGGTTCACCTGCGATGTTCAAAATTCGCACAGCGTTGCCTTTCGATGTTCAAAATGTGCACCTCGCCACACACATCTCCCGGCACAAGCCTTGCTTCCAAATCTTCGCACCGCGTGCAGCCCGACCCAACAGACCCAATCAACCGTTTTTAGAATTCACACGGCGCCAGGGCGAGAGCACACCCTCAAAAGAGACCAACCTCGTTCAAGCGCTTTGCGCGTGCCTGCGCAGTTGAAATGCGCATAAGCATCTCACAGTAACTTGTGTGCGAGAGTGCGCAGCCGGAAAGCGCAGCCCAGAAAGAGCACCTTGATCTACCCCGGCCCGTGGCTCTTACCGCAAGAAGCCCTTAGACACACTGTGTGGAGATCGAAGACGGATGCGCGCAAGGTGATGTTGGCTATGCCCTCGCTGGTGCTATTGCCACTGCTGGATGCAGTGTGCTCACAGCTGCTGTGCCTGGGCAGAACCCAGGTTCAATGAGCATAATGGGGAGCCCCCTGCGTGCCTGCAGATTCGGCATGGGCAAATATTTCCGACGCTGTCTCGCGTACCTTGTGGTCCGTCCTTCATACCGTGCAACGAGGCTGTCTTGGATCCCACAAAACCAGCAGTTGACACTTGAGCAACGCATGATTTAGCTGGCCCAAACACGTGGAAAACGCAAGGCCAGTGCCCAACACCTCAGGTGGCTGCTTCTTTTGCTGGGCCTGGCACTGCTGCTGTCCAAAGCCGAGGTGCAGGGTATGGCGCTGCTTGGGGTGGAAGGCACGGGGGCCAAGTGCACGAACGGTTCATACCCGCAAGGCCTTTCAAGGGCCCCGCGATTAGAAGGGGATTTGGGGGGGGGTAGTGTTGTGTTGCATTGTTACTCTTGCAGTGCAGTGGTTGAACTCAAAAGCCTGCAAGCCTTCATTGGAGAGAGAGGAGAATGGTCCGGCAAGGAGTCTTTCGCCGCTTCAACTTGACAGCTGTGGATTGCTTGCGCATCGTCTCGCTCGCCTTTTCCTGCTTCTGGATTCAGGTTGGGCTTCGGAAATTCGGTCTTTGTGTCTGTGTCTGTGTGTCTGTGCATGCCATTGCGACGGCGGAATAGGAAAATTGATGCTTTCAGCTTTGGGGTAGGCATTCAGCTTTGGGGTAGGCATTTGCCTGGGCTCATAAAAATCTGGAGGTAACCCAGCAGCGAACCTTGGAGGAAGTGGTGGGGGCGGCCTGCATGTTCGCCACCGCGCACTCGGTGGCCAAGTGGTACTTTGCTCCGGGGAAGCGGTTGCTCCAGAAAGCCCGGCACCTGCCTTTGGCACCAGCGCTGCAAGGAGCCGAGTGGCTCCGTCAAAGACGGATCCCAGCGGCGGCCTTTAGTGATTAGACTCGTTAGACTATGCTTGTTGGCCTGTTGCCAACGCCTCAAATTTGCCCTGCGAGGACTGGCAGTGGCGGGAATTTGGCACCTGGGGTCCCTGGCCCGTGGTGCCTTTGCCTTGGCCCTGCTCCGCCTGGTGCGCTGGGCCCTGTGGCTGATGCATCTGGCCTTGCGCCAGGAGGGGACTGTTGCTGCAGCAATCCGATTTTCGGGGCGGGGGGCAACGTGGCAACGTGGAGGGCATAGTGTTCAAAGGCCGACGCCCCACAATCAAGCGAGTTCGTTGATTGCTGCCCGGCCAGAAGTCGCTCTTCTCGTCAAGGCACGCCTGATACATGTTGTGTGAAAGCCTTTCCAATGTCGCGCTTGTGCTCAGCTGGCCGGCATGGATGCTGACTACACTCAGGAAAAGCAGTTGGCGTTTGTTTCTTTGTCAGCGGCCATCCAGACTTGGATTTGCTATCATTGCTTCCACGGGTTTGACGGCTTGCGCAGCTGTCAGCTTGAATTTCAACACTTGCTCGCCTTTTGAGGAGTGAACCATGAAGATATGCTACGAGACCATGCAAGTAAGCCTGTTTGTGCACGAGTATGTAGAACACAGGGGCAAGCACACGCAGCAAAGATCGTGTCAGCATGCTTTTGTCGATCACAAGGTTTCCATGTAAAGCAGGTCACTCGGACAAATGAATATAGTGCCGAGGACGAGGAGAAGGGCAAGCAAAAGCGGCGCTGTTGCTGCCGGTGCTTCATGGCTGCCTGGTGAAAGTTGTAGCTGTTGACACTGTTGGCGCTTCGTGCTTGCATCTTTGAACCTTGCATTAGCCTAGTGCTTGGTATTCTTTCAACCCTTCATGCTATGCGGGGCATGTGTTGGCAATGCTTGGTTGCGCAAAAGCTAAGACGGCCGCAGTCTGCACTGTGCATAGGGTGAACGGTTTGTTCACTGCGTCAATTGGTACAATAGATCTGACCTCAGCATAACTAATTGACAGCAGCACCACTGCACTCCAAAGCAGGGAGCCAGGCAGTCATTCAATCTGTAAGGCTTCGGAGCGATAAGCTAAGCACCCCAGACGAACTGCAGTAGCACCCCACACCATCTGCAGTTACATAGAAAAGGTGATGAGTCCAGACGACGCCACATGCCAACACTTGCATGCGCCTGCAGACAGATTGCTGGCGAAGATGGTCAGCACTTGCTAGCTTTGGACACCTGTAGGTGTTCTGCGACGCCTTTCTCGCCACGTTGCAAGCCTTGACTGAATTCTTGAGCAGCCACGCATACGCAACTTGGCAACCCAAGTTCCTGCCTCAATGGTGGGTTGTCAGGCAGTTGCAGTCAGGGCATGAGCGTTTGGTTTTCCCTGTCGCTGGGCTTGCGCTTGGACAATATTTCCAGGAAAGAACCGGGAACATGTAAATCCCTATGCTTGTTTGCAATGCTTAGCTGGCAGGCATACGAGCTCAAGACATGCCAGTGGCCTTCACTGAGCTCAAAGTTCGGATTGGCTTCATCCCAGCCTAGTAGACTATGTGTTTGGCAACGCCCCAGGTCGACATTGCTCTGAGTTCGAACTCCTATGCAGCAGCAGCGGCCAAGGCTGGGCTAGAGCCAGGGAGCCCTGGGGTTTGCCCTCATGGGTCCATGAGCTGGCACCGATTTTGGATGGACTGCTTTCTGGTCGCCCCATCAACGCCAGGCCTTCAACATTCTGGGCAGCCACGCTGGCCTGGTCTCTGTGCTGTCTTTGGTTGCCTGCTTTTTGAGCCTTGGCGACGGGCATTGCAAACATGGTGGCTAAGGTCCCATTGAAAGAGGCATTTAGAATTGTAATGGCTACGGCTACCATGTAGTTCGCCTGAGGATTTTGCCCGCGAATGAAATTTAGCGGCTTCGCGACTGAGCGGCTCCCTTTGGGTTGAGACATGTTCTCTCGTTCAAAATGGCATTTGTCCAAGCAAGGCGTGTCCCGGCAAATAAATCCACAAGATTTAGCGCCGTCAGTGTTGAGCATGTTTCCCATCAGAAAGCAAGTTTGGTTTCATTGAGCCATCAGCAGCCCATGATGGCCGTCCAGACAGAATCAAAGTTCCGTTTTCCCGGCCTGAAGATCAGATCAGCGCTGGGGCATTCCTGTTTTGCGTGCCTCAGCGCGTGGCGAGGCGAGTTGCTGGATCCCTCCTTCTGGCTGCTATGGCTGGTTGCGCTGCGTGCATGCTGACGAGGACACAGGGCTTTTGGTTGTGAAAAGGACGTGTCAACAGCCGCGTCTTGGAAACCTTCGGTCCTTGACCTTGGGTTCGACACTGTCGCCATGCACTTTGCTTCGAATTGCCCTCTCGGTGCAGGCACCCAATTTGGCTGGAAGCTGGAGCAGAGCTGACTCGTCAGTTGCAGGCGTGACGCTGTGGCCTGCAAAGCAGTCAAGGGGAAACTGAAACTGCTCACTCCCATTCCAAGCCATGCAGAGCAAGACACGCACAATACCTTGCAATCAATTTCAAGCTCATCCCATGCCTCCACCAACCAGCGTTTGAGGCCTTGCTGTTTGCAGTCCTATTTGGCCTGCCTGCCCATCGCTTGCTTCGCTGAGGCCTCGGGCCTTCCTTTCTGGGCTCAGCAGCTGACCGAGCTCAGGGCCGAGGGCCAGGCCAGGATTTCAGGTCTGAGTTACTTGCATGTCGCATGAGCACCAATCGCTTGCGCCTGCATCGGGCACGATTGCTGTCGCCTGCCTGTCTTGCAGTAAGGCCGTCAGCAGCGAGCTTCTGGGAGCCTTGGCTGTCGTGTGTAACCGCCCCGGAATTGACTAGTTGACTAGGCCAGCTAAATGGTCCTTCATTCAGATCCATCTCTGTATCCCTTTTTGTGATACTCCCCCCCCACCCACATGCCCCGCATCCTGTGTGCGGGCAGCTCAGGTGTTGCCACAGCCTTGATGATGCTGCTGGCGAGCCGGGCCATGCTTTTCACTGTGGAAGGCGCCCGTTGGGAACGACCCTGATGCATGTCTGCATTTCCAGCTTCAAATGCGCGAGCCAAGTTGGACCCATTTTGGGCAGGCACCGCTTTCACGGTGCTCTACTGCTTGCTGTGGGACAGCTCGGATGGAGTTCTGGACCGACGAGACTTGCTGTGCCAAGAGACAGGTTGTAATCTGGTGCCGAGGGAGCCAAGGAATGGGCCGAAACAGAGCACCCGTTGCCAGCGGCAATTTGAGCCGAACTGCGGTGTCATTTGGCAGGTCGCGAACCAGAAAAGCACTGGCATGCAGCATTGCCTGTTCAATCAGCAGCGACATTCCAGCACGTGCTTTCCCCATTGCCTGCAACGACAAATTCCATGGTTTTCCTTTTTGTGAGCTGTAAAGCATGATTCAGTTGCAACCCTCCCACAGTCTGGAAAACCTCCTTCTCAAAAGCAGGAGGCTTGTGTCCGATTGCAAGTTCTCGATGGGTTCTTGCAGGATGCAAGCCACGTGCCGGAGTCCTTCTGGCAGTTCGCCCGGGAACATGGCATTGCTGGCCGGCGACGCCCAGAAGGCAAAATCTGACTGCTGAGCTCAGCTTGAGACAGGGTTGCCGCAAAGTAGGCCGGGCAATGCAAGAATTGAAATCACCCCTTGGAACCTGGAAGCGTCCAAGGGCCACTTCTAAAACTATAATAAGCTGGGTTCCGGCAAGAAGGCATTCGGGGAAAAAATGGAGCGCATTTGGGGAGGCCCGGGTGCCATGCACAGGCATGAAGAAACTGCGTGGGCCTTAGGCTAGCGCCACCTGAGTGCCGAGGCACATTGCGCAGGAGATGGCGCCCTTGTTACGTTCTTGTGGTTTATATGTTGATGTGAAGGTTCCTGTGACACTTGAAGGTATGCCTGCTGTCTTGATGTGCTGGGTGGGTGATCATCCAGGAGTTGAGCCGCTTGATGGAGACATTGCCTGCGAGGTCGGCACGTGCTGAGGAATGAAGCCGAGCCACAGGCGATTTCAAGTGTGCACGTCTGCACGGCAGACAGGAAGGACAGCGCATGTACAGAGGACGCAGGCGGTGTGAACGACTGAGCTGAACTGAAGGCAATCTAGAATTAGCTTTGCCTGCCGCATGCCGCTAAGTTGCTATGCCCAAAGCTGCGAATATTATTCCTGTTGCAACCGTTTCTGGTCCGGTGTTGACTGATTTGACCGGGAGGCGCTTGGCTCTAATTTCAACAGGCTGTGCATCACAGAAATTCTACTGGCGCAGGCTGCCAGTGCAGTTGGTTGTCCTGGCGCGCCATGCTCTGTGCATGAAAACATCGTGGCTTACTCGTACCCTGCTTGGGAGGTCGTATCAGTTGCTAGCTGGCTTCCTTCAATTGACCGCTTCCCCCAGTAGATTGTCGGCATCACGCAACATTTTGAATGAAATGGTCTCACTGCTACTTTGGCCCTGTGCAGGTTTCAAAGGTTAGGTTTCAAGGTGCCTCAATCAACCCACATGTGGTTGTTGAAAAGACTGACGGCCATGCGAGAGGCTGCTTTTGAAGGCTCCTCGGAATCAGAAGGGCTCACAATCCAGATGAAGATGATCAGATTGGTGGCAAAGGGCACTGTGTTTTGGCCGCTCATCAAATGAAATGTAAATACTCGCTCCAAATCGGTAAGATACGCGCTTACCGCTGCCGCCAGCGATGCTTGCAATCACACTTGTTCCTGTTTTGGCACGCCAGGCAGGTCCTTCTGAAAACAAAGTATCTTCTTCAACCAGCACAGCGTTCCATTCGCCATGTCCCACGTGCTAGTGGCCAAGCATCAGCCTGTCAAGTAACAAGCGTGTGCGCCCTTGACGCTTTCGCGGGGACAGGTGCTAAGTCGGAATCTCCACAGCACATGTCGACATTGCGGAACTTGACCATCGCAGATGGAATCGACCCATGCCATTGCGACACAGACACCGCTCTCACAGCGCACGGCGAGCGACATGGGCTGGCGGAGCCGGCCACGGGCCCAGGGGCTCAGGGCCGCATGTTCAGTAACATCCATGGGTGGCGACTTGCGGTTGCAACTTCAGTTTGTCAATGAATCAAATTGTTGACTTGACCATTTAGACATCTCTCGTGAGATCAAGTTTTGAATTCCAATAGCTAGCAGGGCTGAGTTTGTATCGCTTGGAAAGCGCGGCTAGAAAATGCTTGCCTCAAGCCAGTGTTCCGCACTTTCATTGATACGGCCGAAATGCCGCACAATGTATCCCTAGCTCTTGCGCCTCATGTCCTGACTGGCTTTGTGGCCGTGCTTGGTCCAAGAGAGGTTGTATCGCGTGTGTATGAGTTGTGTGTGTGTGTTTTGATGGACACTAGCGTTGCCAGTCATTCCTTAGTTGGGCAACTTGGGCGTCGCCCACATGTATGACCGCCCTCTCAGAGGACGTCAGCCGCTCCAGGTCCCTAGCACCGATGAATAGGGGCCAAGGCATGGATATGCTTGCTAGCGTTGAGGCTCAAGCCAGTTGCAAGTGCTGAAGGCACGCTTGCTGGCTCCACGCTGCTGGCTCTGTCACCAGAAGGCGCCTTGTGTAAAACAAAGCGGCCTGGATTGAGGCTTGCCCACATGAAAAACGCAAAACCGCAAGCATTCTGGCCATGAAAAGTGCAGGCCTTGCGATGTGGGCATGGACAGTCGAGCTGCCGACACTCGGCCTGCGCCTGCACACCGGTGATTTGCTGTCCTCGGGAGAGCCTCGGCATTTTGTTAGGCTTTGGACGACCGTGAGTCAATGAGTTTGGGTGGCGCTCGGCCTGGCGTGGCCGGCCCTGATATCAATGCCAGCACAGCTGAGGAGTTTATCCTGCTGGACTTTGTGTCCCTTCCACTCCGCTTTTTGCTTGGTTTTATGCTATTCAAGCTCTATCACTGTGGAGAGCGTCAGGCATCACCAGCCCTGCCGCAAATCGCATCACAGTACGCGCTGAATCAATGCTGTTTCATTCAGGAGGATTGGTCACTTACCGCTTTTGTGCCCGGATGCAGGTGAAGGTCGACTCGGCAGAGAAGAGGCCGGTATGGTTGCTGCCGTACATGTACATTCAGGACCAGCAAGCGCGCAGTCGTTCAGTAGTCGATTTTGTTCAAACAATCAAGCGGAGCTACAGTGAACCCCCGAACTCCCACCCACTGAGGATGGTCATTGGCATCAGGTTCAGGGATCAGTTTAGGAACTTGCATCTGCTCGCGTTTAGGCTTGAGCTTAAATCAAGCAGCCGTAACCCCCCCCAACCCACCCTAATCTCATCTCACCCTTAGACCAACCCGCCCCAAGCCCACCCTACAACCCTACGCCCGCCCTGAACCCAGCCTTTTTTCCCACCCTAAGCCCGCCCTGAATGCAAGCCAATCCCGGCATAAACACGCTCCACAACCTTTGAACCCACAGCCCAAAAGCCAACCTTCAACCCAGCCTACACCAACCAAGCTAATCGCCTAAACCATCTTTAGGGCTGCCTTGAAACCCAGCCCTAATCGGCCGCAAACAAGCAAATCTTGAACATGCTGCAACATACACTAGTGTGGCCCTCCAAGAAGCCTTTAGCACGACTCACAATTGCATGTCTGTGCCGACCACAAAGCAGAAGTCCGTTGGGCGGGATTTTGAGATACTTGAGCGGGCTGAGCTTCACGCGAGATTTTGCAACTTCGGGGTGTCTTGGCAGACTTTCACTCGGCCTTGGCAGTTTGATGCTGCCAGTTTGATGCTGCCATTGATGGAGGAAGTGCGTCTCCTTGGGGCACCTGCTTCTGGCTCAAGTTAGTGCTTTCCGGTACTCATGTGATATCAAGGCGCCAGCAGCAGCGCCGCCAACCACAACCGCACCACAACCAAGCCATGCGCAACAACCACCACAATAACCCACAACAACCACAACCGCAGCCGCCTCCCCCCGGCAACAGCAACAACGACGGCGGCAGCAACGAATGACGCCGCCGCCACCACATTTACCACCCTTCATCACCCTTCACCACCTTCACAACCTGCATCACCTTCACAACCTTCACCACCGTGACGACCTTTATCACAATCACCACCTTCACCCCCTTTATCACCTTCACCACCTTCACCACCTTTATCACAATCACCACCTTCACCACCTTCACTACCCTTATCACCTTCACC